GGGTGGGTGGGAGAAGGATAGGATACTGCCATCTTGTGCTAATCTCAAATGACAAAAAAAAAATCGGTGGCGATTCAATTTACAGAGTTTGTCCTTAACAAAAATCTACACGTGTTTTTTAAGGTTTGGAAGGATCTGGTTGTGGGTCAGAGACACAGAGACGTGGATCCACCTAGTGAGAGAAGGTTAATAAAAATATTGAGGGGCAGAGGGGAAGGGGGGGGCAACTAAATCACAAGAGAAAAAACCCATTAAGTAGATATTTGCATCTATAGTACAAAGTAAAGACCGGTGGACGTCAAAGTCCCACATCATCCACTCCGCAGGTACTTTACTCAAGCATTGCAAAGCGCGGATGCTGAGATTTAATTTTGAGTGTGCAGTTGTGACGTCTCGGAGCAAACTCCCTTCCCCCCCTTTCCTTCAGTTGCTACAGCACTGGCTCTTATTCTGCTGGGCTGTCTCGTGCAGGTCCACGCCTCGGTTCCGGCCCGGGGTCCCGGTGACGCTCTGCGGTTCGCTCTTTGGCAACTTCTTGGCTGCCGAAGGAAAAGCCACAGTTGGTAAAAATGAACTTCTACGTTGCTTGTTGCAAACACAAGAAATCAGACTGGGGAAGTGATGGGATGGGGGGAGGAAGGGGGAGGGTGAGGGAAGGAGGGGGGAGAGGGGGGAGCGAGGGAAGGAGGTGGGGAGGGAGGGAGGTGGTGAGGGCGGAAAAAAGGGGTGAAGGAGGGAGGTGGGGAGGGAGGGAGGTGGGGAGGGAGGAACGACGAGTTAGATGGAAACCTTCCAAGTTTCAAACTTAAGTAAACAAGATTCTGATCATTTCAACAAGCGGTTTCCTGTCCAGCATGATTATATTCTCTCCGACCTGCTCTAACCCACTAGTTGCTGCTCGACTGGCTCTGGCCTCCTGCTTGTCCCTCATGCCCTCCGTTTCACCATTGGTGGCTACATTTTCAGCTACTGTGCCCTGAAATCTGGAACTTTCTTCCTCCTCTGTCTTGCCCCTTTCAACCCCAACTTCAGGTCGCGCCTAAAGACCTTCCTCTTCAACCATGCTTACAGTCACCTCCCCACCCCAACTCAGCGTTGTGCTCCGCCACTGTCAAGAGCTCTTGGACGCTACCCTGTGAGAGGGGCGCTGTGTAAATGCAAGTTGTTGTTGCATCTTACCTATTGCCAAAAACAAATCATTTACGTTCATCGCCGTCTTTGCCGAGGTCTCCATGAACAACAAGCTGTTGTCGTCTGCATATGCTTGGGCTTCCTGTTGGACGAGAGTGGAGCATGTTAGCTTTACAACAACAACAACAAAATGACATTTATAGATGGGTAGGAGTGAGGGAAGGCAGAGAAGTGGGAAGGCGACCAAAGGTACGATCGAAGAGGAGGGTTTTGAGACCGACCTTGAAGGAGGCAAGGGAGGAAGCGAGGTGAAGGGACTATGGGATGGAGTTCCAGAATGTGGGGGCAGAGAGGTTGAAAGCCCGGCCACTGATGGTAGGGCGGGTCGGGCGGGAGACATGGAGCAGGCTGGAGTCCACTGAACGGAAGGAGCGGGCAGGTTGGTTGGGAGTCAGCAGGTCAGAGAGGTAGGAGGGGGCAAGGCCATGGATGGCCTTGTAAGTGAGGAGGAGGATCTTGAATTCGATCCTCTGAGGGATGGGGAGCCAGTGGAGTCGGGCGACGGTGGGAGTGATGGGGTCACGGAACCTGGTGCACGAGAGTACACGAGCTGCAGAGTTTTGGATGATCTGCAGCTCGCGAAGGGAAGAGTGGGAAGGCCGATGAGGAGGGAGTTTCCATAATCGAGCCTTGATGTGACGAATGCGTGGGTGAGGTTTGGGGGCCTGAGGGGTGAGGCACTGGCGGAGTCTGGCAATGTTGCGGAGGTGGTGGTAGGCAGTGTCGGTCATGGCGCGGATGTGGGAGAGAAAAGACAGTTCAGGGTCAAACAAGACACCCAGGTTCCTGACTGGCTCAGTGAGGTTGAGTGTGCAGCCGTGGAGGCTGCTGCTATCAGCACCCGAGGTGCAGAGGCGCTGGCGTGAGCCAATCAGGAGTCCCTCGGTCTTGCTGACGTGCAGCTGGAGAAAGTTGTTCCTCACTGTGTGTTTACACTTCCCAGGGAGCTCACATTCATTCCACCTGCCCACTAACCAACACTTACCTCATATTCCACCATCCTTTTGTTAGCCAGATCTGCCTTGTTTCCCGACAGCGCAATCACTATATTAGGACTGGCTTGCCGTTGTAACTCTTTCACCCATGTCTTTGCTCGTGCAAATGTCTCCTGTAAAAACATCATTGTTTAATGTTTATTTCACTAGAAGTCCCCCTAAATTCTCCCCTTCTCCCCACTGAGTTATCTGAGGTAATCTCCACACAGGGCGGAAACACAATACAAATACACACACAATAACGCGCACACACACACAATACACACACACACACACACACACACACACAGGGTGCACACTTTCTATTGCACAACCAGAAAGAGCAACTCGCTCCAGGGTATTTGAACGATGTACAGTTTAGCAAATGGAACAGGGCCTCTTTAAAATGTCCCAATAATCTTCAGACACAGACTGTATATTTGACAAATCCCACTCACCAGAACACGAACTGGGAGGATTATTGGGGTTATTATTGCCTCACGGCTCAGTCCTTCGCAGTTGAGGGTCGGCCTGGTTGCTCTCTGTTCTTCGTTGCACATTGGTTTGAATGACCAGCAGTACAACATTTTTTTTCTGGCCAGCTGGTGTCTGACATACGCGGAAACCCATCACTGCGCTTAAGAGTATCCAAACCAAACTGAGATTTCCATGCTTCCCAATTACACATGGAAATCCCAGAGATAAGATTGTTGGAATGGAATGTGCGCTCTTTCTCTCCCTGGAGGGAGGCATCCTGCTTACCTAATTCTGGAAAGTATTAGGTGCAGGTTTGCAAGAGCCAAGGCTTGGGGGAAGCCCGGAGTGTGTGTTGGGGTAAGTGTTGGGAGTCTAACCAGCTAAACCCACATAGCTTGCCATTGATATTGCTGAATGGCAAGCTTTCCCACTGCTTGTCCAGCTAGGACCACCCTACCCGTTAGGGCTTTGGCTTGCAGGTTTAACAGGAGCTGAGTAGAATGACTCCCTGCCCCCACTGACTGGACATTGATTAATAAAGGAGTTCTCTAACCTGGTTAGTGATATCATAAACCACGATGGCAGCCTGAGCCCCTCTGTAGTACATGGGAGCCAGACTGTGATAGCGCTCCTGTCCAGCTGTGTCCCAGATCTCAAACTTCACTGTGGTGTCATCCAGGCAGACAGACTGTGTGAGAAACGCGGCTGCAGAAACAGACAGGAATGTAAAACAACTTTGTTTTAAGAAAGTAGTGAGGTCCAATAATTGGACATTGTATGACTTCTGCCTCTCTCCCACCAGTCACACGTAGGGCTCTATCCTTGGTCCTATCCTCTTTACCATCTATAATTTTCCACTTGGTGAAATCCACCCACCCTTAACTGAAGTACCACTGCTCTTCTGAACAACTGCTTCTCAAATTCAAATCCTGCCACGGTCCCTAACCCACCCCACGTCTGCAACCTGCTACAACCCTACTGACCGGGCCACTCCCTTCACTCAGTAAACACCGGCTTACTTCATGTAACTCTGCCTTATCTGCCCATCCATTAGTAGGCAGGCTGTCAGACATTCTGCCTCCCCCCATCTCAGAGGTCTACCCTAGAGTTCCTACAACTAGTTCTCTCCCGTCCCTCGTTCAAGGCCCACCTTTTTGATGGCTCTTTCGGTCATCTTTCCCCCTCCCACCCCTTCCCCCGACTCCCATTGCCAGCGCAGGTGCCCAACCTGCAGAGCCGAGTGCTTTGAGATGTCCCCCTGACATGAAAGACACCGAGTAAATCTGAAGTGTACTGTATGGCAATAAAAATCACACTGGGTAAAATAACTCAAAATGTGTTAATTTACAGTTGGTCGAGGCAAATACTGTAAAGAATCATGCATCTTAGTAAATATTGCTTATTATACTGTGGATAAATCTTTCCCTACATGAGCTGTGGATCTTCTGCCTGGGAAGAGATAATAATAATCCTTGCATTTGATATAGCGCCTTAACACGTAATTGAGACGTCTCAAAACACTTCCCAGAGTATATTGTAAAGTGGAATGACTGAATTTTGGCAGCCAACACTGCAGTGACCCATAAACAGGCGTGGATTGAGTGACCAGATGCTTTCTTTTTTTTCCAAGGGATTATTACCCCCGGAAAGCGATCCACCAATCGACTATCAACCGGTTAGACTAATAAATTGGTTATAGAGTGGGGGTGGGGGAGTAGTAAGTTGCAGGCAAAATTGCACATAGCGGTGTGCAACAAACAGTCGTGGATTAAGTGATCAAATATATATTTTTTGGAGAGGGATTATTATCTGAGGAAAGAGATGGAGGGAGACTTACCTCCAATAGTGCCTACAACCATAGAGCCTACACTTACCTCCAATAGTGCTTTCTTGGTACTCGTGAAACTGGCCTTTAACAAACCGCAGAACCAGGCTGGACTTGCCCACCGCAGACTCCCCCAGTAACACTAGCTTGAACTGGCAGATCTTGTTGGCTTGTGACTGACCATTTGGCCTTGAAGCTCCTCTGCTGGCCATGGCCTCCTCAGTAATCCTAGCAAGAATCTGCTAATGGACAATCGTAATCCCACCAACTCTAACAGGATAAATGCGGCTTCCACTTCAAAACCACAATCTGATCAGCACTGGAAAATCTGCCGGGAAAAGACAGAGAAATTTAACTCCAATTCAGAGTGAAACAAATTAGGTTTTGATGAACAACAATACTGATTACCATTTAACTGGTTTTAATTACCATTTAAAACTAAAATACTGCACAATATATGAGAGCTTTGAGACGTCTCAACGACGCTATATCAAGTGCAAGGATTATTATTAATAAGAAAGAAGTTCCTACTGATATTTTATAGGAAACGACTCATTCAATGTATTGAATGTTTGCGGAGAAGACAGAAACTACATTCAACTGTAGCAAAAAGAGGAAGGGGAGAAAAATACCAGCCCTGAGGCCCCCACTCATCAAGTTGATCGAAACAGAACAGCAAAGCTCAAAGAGAAAGGAAGGTTTCCGGTGAATCTGAGGAAATTTGGGAATGAAGGTTCTCAAGAAGTCCCACAGCTTTTAAATTGTGTGTCATCACTTTACCATATAGCCATTACAGTATAAACCATATAGCCATTACCTTATAAACCATACAGCCATTACCTTATAAACCATATAGCCATTACCTTATTAAACCACCCAGCGTCTTGGGACGTCCTCTTGACGTAAAAGGCGCTAAACAAATGTAATTTGGTACTGTATTCTATATAGCCATTACCTTAATAAACCAAACCTAATCCTGTCGTGCTCCTTCCAAACCCAGCCACTCTTTTCCCACTCATTCTTCAACACATCGCAAAACAGATGGATCTATTAAAACTTCCCCTGAATGCAGCTTGTCTTAGGGAGACAAACTGAACAATTTGTTCATTTGCCTAACCAGCTGTTAGAAACCACTAAAAATGCCCCCCACAACAGCTTGACTCCGCACTGGTTGAGAACTGAAATACGGGAGCTACTGTGTCAACCCCACATCAAAACAAGCTGTGCCATCTCCGCAACCGCATAACTATATAGCCAAGCCACACAGTTCAGACACACTACATGTATTGGAATGAAAGTGATCTGTAATGTGACTATCCTTTCTTCGTCACATGGTGAGGTGAAATAAAAGCCTTCCATCTCAAATTCCTCTCCCAACTTCCAGAGAGGGATAACAGAAATTTCATTCCTCCTACAGCAACCCCTGTGCCACAGTTCCACTGTTTAATAATAGCAATGATAATTATCCTCACATTTGATATAGCGCCTTATCACATCTCAAAGCGCTTCACTGAATATACTGTGAATTGAATTGATTGTATATTTTGTGGGCGAAACACAGCAGCCAATTGGGCACAGCAGTGTCCCACGAACAGTCGTGGATTGAGTGAATTATTATTACTATTTTTTTTGAAGGGATTATTATGACTGGAAAAGCAATCCCTCAATCGACTAACAACTGGGTTCCTATTTACTGCTAGGTGAACAGCCGTGTGAAGTAAGTTACCTTGCCCAGTGTTTCGCCCTGCCCGGGATTCAAACCCAGATCCTCTCGCTTGCGAGGCGAGTGCTCTAACCACTGAGCTACAGGACTCTACAATAATAATAATAATCCTTGCATTTGATATAGCGCTTTTCATGTCGGGAGGACGTCCCAAAGCGCTTCACAGAACACACTGTAAAGTAAACACACAACCCAACCTCAGAGATGTGGTGAAGAGGAAATCCTGACACGGCAACACTTAACAATGATAAAATTAGTAAACATTTCCTCTGTTTTAAAAAAAATCGTTATTTCGAGTGTTACGTTTATCTATGACAAGTTGCAAAATGCATCCTTCTTACAATCCTGCAAAACAGAACCATAAGCTACTAAAACACAATCCACAGGAAAAGGTAAGGAGTATGAGGGGAGGAGAAGCAAGATGAAGCCTCTCGAGAAGTCAAAACAAGTCTAACAATCAGCTTCATTCACAGAAACCCCCAAAAGATATACAATTTGGCCTTGAATACACAGCTTGCAACTTTTCTGCACTAAAAGAAGTGTTTTTTTTCAGTGGAGAATTCTAAACGCAGGTAAACAAACTCTAATCAAAGATCAGTTTCTAAACATGGGCAAACCTAGAGACATGTTGATAATGTCATAAAAGCTGCAACAAACTGTTTGGACAACTGTGTGAATTTAAAGCCCTTTAATGTGTTACCACTTTGTAACCACCTTTCAGTGATCAGTTCTCTACTGTACACAATTAGTAAAGCACTGATTAGGTGATTGTTACTGAAACCCATCACCACAAAGTGTTCTATTTCTGTCACGTCATTCGGTCAGGAAAGGCTGCCCCAATTTCATCCCAGTCACTGGGCGAAAGAAATCCCAGTCACTAGGCCCTGCCATTGCCTCCGCGCGAAGGGAGTGACATCTGCAGTAACCTGACAACCTGGAAGGGGCCTTTTTTCACACCTGCTATAAGACAGCCTCAGAAATTGGATGAAGATTACTGCATTATAATGGATGTTGTCTTCTGGAAAGGATATTCGTAAAACTCAAACCTGATTCCAGAAAGTTATATCAATGGGTACTTGAAAAGGAAACATTTGCAGGGCTACGGGGTAAGGGTGGGGACTAGCTGGTGACTCTTTCAAACACCCAGCACAGGCATGATGGGCCAAATGGCCTCCTTCTGTGCTGTAAGATTCTATGATCTGAACTGATCTGGAGGTTACCACATGAACTTTGGTAAAAGCACTAAGAGATTAATAAGACATTCGACTAGTTTTAGTACAGTGAGCTTTATTAATAGAGTAGGTATTGTTGAAATGGTCACCAAATCAACTGGTATTAAATTACTTGACCAGATTAATAGACACAAACACAATGGAAACTGTCCTGTCAATCACAGTACTGACAAAACATCACTCCAGGAACTGAAGATTGGCATTCCTTCAAGAGAAAATTAAATGGCATTAAATGAAAAACTTGCAGTTTATAGCGCTATAAGAGTCAGCAGAATTGGGTGATATGGTTTGGGTTGATACCAGCACATTAATAATCCCAGCGTTCGATATAACACTTCATTAAGTTGTCAAAACATCTCAAAACATTTCAAACTTGCTATGAGGTGTAGTGACTCTCTGTAGACAAACAACAACACATAAAATTGCTCATTCACTCCGTGGCTGTTTGTGGACACACCAATGTCCACAAACAGCCACGGAGTGAATGAGCAATTTTATCGGGTGGGGGGTGGGAGAGAAGAAGAGTCTTGGCCACGACACCAGGAGAAACTCCCTTCTCCTTTCCAATAAGTGCCACAAAATCTTTAATGTACGCCTGAACAGGCAGACAGGATCTCCCTCATTAACATCTCATTCGAAGGATGGCACCTCTGACAATGCAGCGCAAACCCCCAGTACTGCACAGATGGAGCCTCAGCCTATGCTGTGATCTCAAAGCCCCCGTATGGGGGGGGGGGCTCGAACCCACAAACTCCTGACTTGGGAACGAGAGTGGCAGAGGCCACGCTGTACAGTACCAGCAGGTGAGGTGGCTAATTTGCACCAACAACACACCCGGTTGACGCTTTATTGCAGCTTCTGGGGCGCGGGGGCGCGCGCTTGTGGGGGGGGGGGGGGGCAGGGAACGTCCGGACAGGGGGAGGGGTAGGTGATGGACAATCCTCTCCCATCCCAGGAGCGTGTGTTTGTGTGCGGATGCGAAGGGGGCGAAAGGGGGGGAAAAGGAAAGAGATGAGGGTGAGGTAGAGAAATAATAACAACAATAATCCTTGCATTTGACACAGCGTCTTATCGCGTCGTTGAGACAAGAAGTAGCATTTACACAGCGCCCCTCAGCCCTCACCCTCGCAAAGAGTGTCCTCGAGACGTCTCAAAGAGATTCACAGGGATACACCCTATAAACAACAACAAATGGCACCGGTGCGGCGCAACTTCACGTCGAAAACACGCCCCAGGGCGCCGGGCAGTCAGGCAAAGTGTAGTGACTGTGTGTGTTTTGTGGGTGAAACGCGCACAAGAGAAGGAAAAAGCACCAAAATAACACATACAACGCCCTGAATATTATGGGGAGGGGGAAGGGCAGGGCCTAGGAGCTCAGGCTTCGGGGGGAGACACACACACACACACACACACAAGAGGTTTAAACGCCTCACACCCAGGCCTGGAGGAGGGGAGGAGGGAGGGGGAGGCTGGGCCGAGGTGGGGGGGGAGGCGGCGGCTCAGGAACAAGAGGGAGAATGTTCCAGAAGCCGCGGACTGGGACGGGAGGAGTATTGCGGAGGGAAGGGGAGCTGTGTTCGCAGCTCTGCTCGTCATCGCGGCCTACTCCAGGCCCAGGCTTCGGCCTCGGCCCCCGGGGGGGGGGGGGAGCGACAGACACACAAACCCCGGGGGAAAAAAATACATTTTATATAAAAAAAGCTATTTATTTTACGGCTCCCCCCACCTTTCCTTTCCCCCCACGGGGCCCTGTGACGGGGCTGGAGGGGAGCCGGCGTGGGGTGGGGGGGCCGAGGCCTACGCGCTAGGCCCCGGGTGAAGCCTTTTACCTCAGGGCGGCGGCGGCTCCGCAGCGAACGAACAACCTCGGCGCCCAGCGGAGTGGGCGGAGCTTCCCACAGCGGGGGGGGGGGCGCTAATCGACAGCCTCCGCGACCAATCACGGGCCGACACTCGGCGATTGCTGACCCGCGATTGGGCACGGGGGCTGCACATCACCTCCCATCGCGCAACGCCAGAGCCCTCGTGATTGGCGGAGGATTCTGACCATTTGGGCGGGATTAAACACTGGACCAATCGGTGGCGTCGAACTGGCTGCGAGGGTGGGATTTGCAGGGGAAGGGGGAGGGGCAAGAATTAACTCCTTCCACCCCACACTGTTGAAAGCTATAACAATAAGCTCACACACACAGACACACACACACATACAGACACACACACAGGCACATACATAGACACATACATACAGACACAAAAACACACAGGCACATACATACACACACACACACATACAGACACACACACAGGCACATACACACATACATACAGACACATACATACAGACACACACACACATACAATACAGACACACACAGACACACATACATACAGGCACATACATACAGACACATACAGGCACATACAGACACACACATACAGACACACACATACATAGGCACATACATAGACACACACAGGCACATACATACAGACATACACAGGCACATACATACAGACATACACAGGCACATACATACAGACATACACACACACAGGCACATACAGACAGAGGTACAGACACACAAATTCGGTGGAACATTCTTTAATTGGGTTTGGGGTCGGAAGCACAAAAACTGGCTTCGGAATTTAAAAAATTTCCACAATTCTGTGTGATCTTAAAAAATATTTTTTATAATGATGAATAATAATTATTATTTATTAATAATAATAATTATGTGGTCATAATTATTTCAGCCACTACGCCCCAAAGCTCTGGAACTCCCTCCCTCAATCCCTCTGCCTTCCCCCCCTCCCACTTTCAAATCCCACCTGAAGACCTTCCGTTTTGATGGTGTTTACGGTCACCTCTCCCGTCCCGTTGGTTCACTGTCAGACTTCACCGCTATGTAAATGCAAGTTATTGTTGTTGTCACTCAACCCGCGACTATTTGTGGGACGCTGCTGTGCGCAATTGGCTGCTGCGTATCTCCCACAAAATACACAGTCACTACACTTTACAGTGTCTTCTGTGAAGGGCTTTGAGAAGTCCTGGAGAATTGGTAAGGTGCTATATCAAATACAAGGATTAAATTATTATAATCTTGTCACTTAATGCAAAAGGACAGCCCCTCCATCACCCTTAACGAAGATAATTTTTGTGAAAACTCCACCTCTGCCCCCGACAACAGAATCAATCAGGAGGGACGTGGATAAGCCTCTGAGCTGCAGAAACATTCAGTGACGTGTGGAATGTGTGCGTGTGGGGGGTGGGGGGGGATGGAGAGAGAGTTGGAAAGAGAGGGAGAGGGGGTGCGGGATTCATCTAAATTTACAGCACAGGAGGCCATTCGGCCCATTGAGTCTGCACCGATTAATGCCTGTCATTTTTAAAAAAGTGATCCAGCCAACAGCCATTTACACTTCCACACGTCACGGCCGTTTGCGATACGTCGCTGGCTGCTCAAACTGGCTGCCCTGCGAGGTTAACACACAGTCACTACACCCGAATCTCGTGAATCTTGTGAAGCGCTTTGAGACGACCCATTATAACACAGCACCTCTTTAAATGCAGCAACATTGCCACCATGTGGCCACATATCGCTATTGCAAAACCTCCAGTAAACTTGGCCAGAAAAGCAAATTCAGTCTCAGACACTCACTTGCTCAGATTTATTCCTTATTATCATCATCATCATCATTATTATAATACAGACTAATTAAAACTGGAGAATTAGATCTCTATCTGCGCATCTCACTAATATTGGGGCATTAAGGCAAGAGAACAGCCACGTTATTGCTGTTTAGTCAAATCTTTACCGGTTCCACCCATTTCCAGACAAGAGGGATGGATCTTTGACATCCAGCTGAACAGGGTTAAACAGGAGGAAAAATACTGCAGATGCTGGAAATCTGAAATAAAATCAGGGATGGCTGGGAGCACGCAGCAGGTCAGGCAGCATCTATGGAGAGAGAAAGCCGAAAGGTCATCAACCTAAAATGTTAACTCACTTTCCTCTCTCCATAGGTGCTGCCTGACCTGCTGCGTGTTCCCAGCGACTTCTGTTGTATTTTAGGCCTAAATGGGACCCTTGATATATCATCTGAAAGACAGAGGCGTGGGCAGTCGCTCTGGATAAGTGACTGGTAATGTTTGCTCCCCCCAACACACACCTTGTCCATTCTGTTACTAAAAGCACAACTGTGTTAGTCTTAAAACAATAGAAAACAATCCTTTCTTTATACATCACATGGGAAAATCTTAGGTTTTTTTTTGTGTGGGGAGAGAAAGAAACATCCAATGCAATGTAAAAATTACCCAAATAACAGAGTGAATGAATCTTCAATTAAACAGCCATTTCCCACAACACCCCCCCGCCCCCAAATACACACACACACACCCCGACACACACACAGACCCCGACACACACACACACACACACACACACACAGGGTCCATGTGTCTGGACAGTGACCAGCGTTGGGAATCTCTCTGTCCCTAAAGCCCAGGCACACAAAGCCCCCCACCCCACCTCAACCGACACACACACACACCGGCCCAGACACCTCGCTGTGTGGCCTGGTTTCCTCTGAGCCGGATCTCAAATCAAGACATGAAAAAAAATGAGCAAAATTCACCCCCAAATTAGCTCAATTTAAATTAATATTCCCCCCAAAAAAAATCTTCCCTTTGGTGTCTACAAACTTCACCCCTCAGGCCGTGATCACTGAAGATTAGTTAATATATGTGGATATTATAAACAAAGCATTACAAGTGAAGCTAGAGTTTACACTAATATTTTATCTCCCCCCGTAACCCTCCCACCACCAACCCTAACCCTAACTCTTAGCCGCCCCCACTCCCCTCCCCTCCCCCAGTGGGAATTAACAACGTCAGTAATTCCTGTGCTCGACACTAAAGATAATCAGAGAGAGGAACAATATCCTTTGTGTGAGCCGCCCCTCAGGGGAAGTCTGGTCTAACCGCCAGTGTTTGCACACAACAATGTGATTCTGTGCTCACAGGGACAAAGCACTGAGCAGTGGCTCTGTACATCAGCTGTGAGTGTGGACTAAAAACAGAAGTCGCTGGGAACACGCAGCAGGTCAGGCAGCACCTATGGAGAGAGGAAAATTAGTTAACGGTTCAGGTCTATTCACCTAAAACGTTAACTCATTTTCCTCTCTCCATAGGTGCTGCCTGACCTGCTGCGTGTTCCCAACGACTTCAGTTTTCATTCTGAATTCCCAGTATCCGCCATTTGCCCGGAAGTGTGAGTTGGCTGGAGGGACGTTGATATGGGGAAGTGGGGGGAGAGAGGGTGGGGCAGGTGGTGGAAGGTGCCACTCCACACTCCCTCCCTCTCTCTCTCTCTCTCCCCCCCGCCCCCCTCTTCCCGGCAACATCCAACTTCATGGAAGTCAGGAATTAGGCTGGAATCAGAGATAGATAGAGAGAGAGAGAGAGAGAGAGAAAGAGAGGCCCCCCCCCCACCGTCATGAGGACGATTCTCAGGGGAATTAAATCTCTAACAACATGTCTCCATTTGACGAGGAAACAAATACTCATGATTAAAACAAATTACTTATTTCTTTACAAAACTTTAAGCTCCATCCCCACTAACATGTGGATTTCTGACCCTACACTGTGGGGGGGGAAGGGGGGGAAAGGAATTCGAGGCTGCGCCAGAGTAGAGAGAGGTGCCATTTCCCTCAAGTTCCCCTCGGGCTGACAAAGAGCAGGTCACGGGTTCCGGGCTTGGGTTTGGCTTCAGACGCGGAGATGAGGAATCGCTGTGGTGACGTCCTGGAAGAAGAGGTGGGAAATGGCGGTCTTCGCTGAGACGCGCTCCGTTGGGTCGTACAGGAGCATTTGCTGCAGGAAAAGAGGAATTACTGGGATCAGCCACCAGCCAGGGCCGAACATCAGCGACAACAACAATAATAACAATCACAATAATAATAATCCTTCATTTGATATAGCGATTTATCACAATGTTGAGACGTCTCAAAGCGCTTCACAGGATACACTGTAAAGTGAATTGACTATATATTTTGTGGGCGAAACGCGGCAGCCAATTGCGCACAGCAACGTCCCACAAACAGCCGTGGGTTGAACGGACCAATTTATTATTATTATTATTTTGGGGAAAGAATCAAAAAATGAAGCAGAGCGAGTGTAGAGAGTGAGTGTAACTGTGTGTGTGTGTGAGTCAGAATATATATATATTTGGGTGTGTGTACGCAGGGAGTGTGGTGAGGGTGTGTGTATATAGTATAAATATAATGCGTAATATAATAATAATCCTTGCATTTGACACAGCGCCTTAACACATCATTGAGACGTCTCAAAGTGCTTCATGGAATATATGATAAAGTGCAGTGACTGTGTATTTTGTGGGTGAAACGTGGCAGCCAATCGCGCACAGCAGCGTCCCCACAAACAGTGTGCGATCAGTATTATTTTGGGGGATTGTGAGCCAGGACCCCGGGAGAACAACTCCTTCCTCTTTTCGAACAGCGCCGCGGGATCTTTAACGTCCACCTGAACAGGCAGACGGGGAGCTCGGTTTAACACCTCATCCAAAGGACGGCGTCTCCGACCACAGACAGACGGCAGCCCCTCCACCTCCCAAACCCCCACACCTCGCGTCAGCCCAGACTGTGTGAGTTCAATGTCAGTGTATCGGTAACTTCTGGCTACAGTGGTTTAGCTACAGGTTACACCAGTTATGGAGCAGAGTGAGTGAGTGTGTGAATGTGTGTGTGCGAGTGAGGGTGTGTCTGTGTGTGTGTGAGAGTGAGTGTGTGTGAGAGTGAGTGTGAGAGTGAGTGAGTGTGTGTGTGTGAGAGTGTGTGTGTGTATAGAGTAACTATGTGTGATGTGAAACACCCCCCACCTCCCACCACCGTTCCCCCCCAAAATCCGCAGCCATTAAGTAGATCAACCCCCACCCCCCGGCCCCGGAACTCACCGCCAGCAGGTCCCTGCCCCCCTCTCCCAGGGGAGGCACCACTTTGCTCAGCTCCTGCCGGCTCCACCTGGGGAACGTGTGTTTGTAATCCGGCATCGCGCTCACACCCGGCCACACCCCCTCATCCGGAGTTCCCAGTGTCCGGAATATACGGAAAAGCTGATCGATCTCGGAGTCTCCAGGGAACAAGGCCCTCCTGGTGATCTGCGAGAGAGTGAGTGTGTGTGAGAGAGAGAGAGATATTGTGAGAAAGAGCGAGAATGTGAGAGAAAGCAAGAGTGTGAGAGAGCAAGAGTGTGAGAGAGCGAGAGTGTGAGAGAGAGCGAGTGTGAGAGAGCGCGAGAGTGTGAGAGAGCGAGAGTATGAGAGAGCGAGAGTGTGAGAGAGCGAGAGTGTGAGAGAGCGAGAGTGTGAGAGAGCGAGAGTGTGAGAGAGAGAGCGAGAGTGTGAGAGAGCGAGAGTGTGAGAGAGAGAGCGAGTGTGAGAGAGAGCGAGTGTGAGAGCGAGAGTGTGAGAGAGAGCGAGAGTGTGAGAGAGAGCGAGTGTGAGAGACAGCGAGTGTGAGAGAGAGCGAGTGTGAGAGAGAGCGAGTGTGAGAGCGAGAGTATGAGTGAGAGTGTGAGAGAGAGCGAGAGTGTGAGAGAGAGCGAGAGTGTGAGAGAGAGTGAGAGTGTGAGAGAGAGCGAGTGTGAGAGAGAGCGAGAGTGTGAGAGAGAGAGTGTGAGAGAGCGAGTGTGAGAGCGAGAGTGTGAGAGAGCGAGTGTGAGAGAGAGCGAGTGTGAGAGAGAGTGTGAGAGCGAGTGTGAGAGAGCGAATGTGAGAGAGCGAGTGTGAGAGTGTGAGAGCGAGTGTGAGAGAGTGAATGTGAGTGTGAGAGCGAGTGTGAGAGAGCGAATGTGTGAGAGAGCGAGTGTGAGTGTGAGAGCGAGCGAGAGTGTGAGAGAGCGAGAGTGTGAGAGAGCGAGAGTGTGAGAGAGAGCGAGAGTGTGAGAGAGAGTGTGAGACAGCGAGAGTGTGAGAGCGAGTGTGAGAGAGAGCGAGAGTGTGAGAGCGAAAGTGTGAGAGAGCGAAAGTGTGAGAGAGCGAGTGTGAGAGAGAGAGGGAGTGTGAGAGAGAGAGAGGGAGTCTGAGAGAGAGCGAGAGTGTAAGAGAGCGAGAGTGTGAGATAGAGCGAGAGTGTGTGAGAGAGAGAGTGTGTGTGTGTGTGAGAGAGAGCGAGAGATAGAAACTTTACAGAAAAATCCTGTGTAACATTCCGAGACACACCCCCCACCCGGTCGTGAGGATTGTTATTGCCGTCCTTCGGATGAGACGTTAAACCTCACTCCCCGTCTGCCCACTCAGATGGACATTAAAGATTCCGCGGTGCTATTTGATCAGAGTAGGGAATTTCTCTCTCTTTCTCTGTCTCTCTCTCTCTCTCTGTCTCTCTCTGTGTCTCTCTCGCCCCCGTGGCGTCCTGGCCGACAATCCCCCAAATAAAAATAAATTATAAATCCAGTCACTCAATACACGACTGTTTGCAGGCAATCGGCTGCTGCGTTTCACCCACAAAACACAGTCACTACACTTTACAATATATCCTGTGAAGCGCTTTGATATAGTGCCTTATCATGACGCGATAAGCCGCTGTATCAAATGTAAGGATATTATTAATATTATTATAAAAAATAATTCACGGTAAGTGCAGATTTGTCAATAACCACTCAGTTACCACATCAACAAATGAGATTTAGCCCCAAGTTGGGGGCTGGGATCAGTGGGGTGGAGGGCAGGGAGGGTGGGGGTAGGAGGGTGACCGAAGGCACGGTCAAAGAGGAGGGTCTTGAAACCGGACTTGAAGGAGGCGAGAGAGGGGGCGAGGCGGAGGGATGGAGTTCCAGATGGTGGGGGCGGAGAGGTTGAAGGCCCGATCACTGATGGTGGGGCAGGCGGGGGACGTGGAGCAGGATGGAGCTCACTGAGGGGAGGGAGCGGGCGGGTCAACAAGGCAGGTTAGCACGTCACAGAGAATCATAAAATTAATTATACAGCACAGAAGGAGTGTCTGTGCTGCTCTTTGAAAAGAAAACCCCACTCCCCCGCTCTCTCCCCATAGCCCTGACCAACCCCACTCCCCCGCTCTCTCCCCATAGCCCTGCAAACGTGTCCTCCCCAAATAATTATCTACTTCTCTCTTAAAAGTTATTATCGAATCGGCTTCCACCGGCCTTTCAGGCAATGCATTCCAGATCAATGCATTCCAACAACTCGAGATGTGTGAGGAGTCTTTGTGTGTGTGGGGAGGCAGAGTCTGTGTGTATGGGTGTGTGTGTGTGGGGGTGTGTGTGTGTGTTTGTGGGGAGGGAGAGTCTGTGTGGGGTGTGTGTGTGCGGGGGGAGAGTCTGTGTGTGTATTTGGGGGGCGATGGAGGGTCTGTTTGTGTGTGTGGGGGGGGGGATGGAGGATCTGTGTGTGTGTGTGTGTGTGTGGAGGGGAGGGGGGATGGAGGGTCTGTGTGTGTGTGGTGTGTGTGTGTGTGTGGAGGGGAGGGGGATGGAGGGTCTGTGTGTGTGTGGTGTGTGTGTGTGTGGAGGGGAGGGGGGATGGAGGGTCTGTGTGTGTGTGTGTGTGTGTGTGTGGAGGGGAGGGGGGATGGAGGGTCTGTGTGTGTGTGTGTGTGTGTGTGTGTGTGTGGAGGGGAGGGGGGATGGAGGGTCTGTGTGTGTGTGTATGCGTGTGTGTGTGTGGAGGGGAGGGGGGATGGAGGGTCTGTGTGTGTGTGTGTGTGTGTGGAGGGGAGGGGGGATGGAGGGTCTGTGTGTGTGTGTGGGGGAAACAATCAGGAGGGATAGGAAGGAGCGAGGCTGAGGAGAGATCACTGAACTACACTACACAGTGAGATCATGTGAAGCGCTGAGGGGCCTGTGGTGATGAGGCGGTGGCTCAGAGCCAGGGTTACTGTGTGATGCCTGGGCGGCTGAACCCGGGAGGAATGTGGCCCCTGGGTGACCAGGTCAACCACAGCCGTTACATCATGAGGCCAATCGCGCCGTGAGGAACAGTACAGTGATTGAGAGCGGCTTCAGAGCCTCTCTGTTCAGACTTGGATGTTTTATGCTCCTCACACGGCCCTGTGATCACAATCACCAGCACAAGATCCCAGAGACGCCTGCTCGGAATTCCTCCCCGCGGGGTGTGCGTGTGTGTGGGGAGGGTGGAGGGATGTATGCTGGGGGAGGTCTGTGTAGGGTGTGTGTGAGGGGGGGAGGGTTTGTGGAGGGGGTCTGTGTGGTGTGTGTGTGGGAGTTGTCTGTGTGTGTGTGTGGGGGTGTCTGTGTGGGGGTGGGGGGTGTTTGCGGGGGTGGGGGGGGGTGTCTGTGTGTGTGGGGGGGGGTGCGGAGGGGGTCTGTGTGGGAGGTGTGGGGATCTGTGTGTGAGGGTGGGGGGGACAATTAAAATAAAAACCTTCAGAACCAACTATGGGAGAAGCAACAGGAGATAATAATAATCATCCTTGCATTTGACACAGCACCTTATTACCTCGTTGACATGTCTCAAAGCACTTCACAGGATATACTGTAAACTGTAGTGACTGTGTATTTTATGGGTACATGGGAACAGGAGGAGGCCATTCAGCCCCTCGATTTTGAGTCTGTTCCACCATTCTATAAATTCACGGCTGATCTGTACCTCAACTCCAATTACCCGCCTTTGCCCCACTGCTTTTCTCACTGCTCCATGTATATTTGTCCTGTCCGCTTCCTCCACTTAGCGGGCTCCAGCCTGCTCCAGGTCACCCTCCCCTTCCCCCCGCCCGGCCCAGCCTTCCTCACCATCACCGTCGGGCCTTCAGCCTCTCTGCCCCCACCTTTTGGAACTCCATCCCTCAGTTCTTTCTCCTCGCCCCCTCTCTCTCCTCCTTCAAGACCCATCTCTTCGACCTCACCTACGATCACCCTCCTACCCCCCACCCTCCCTGCCCTCCACCCCCTCCTGATCCCAACCCCCGGCTCGGGTCCAAATCCCTAACCCTCCAGAGCCTTGGGACGTCCTCCCGACCTGACAAGGCGCGGCATCAAACACACGGAATATTATTATTATATCAACAACAACTTGCATTTACCCAGCGCCCCCTCACACAGGGCAGCGTCCCACAGCTTGACAGTGGCAAAGCACAACACCAAGCAGGGGGGGAGGGGGAGGTGACCATAGGCACTGGCCAAATAGGAAGGTCCTCAGACAAGAACTGCAGATGGGGAAGGAGGGGGCGGATATCTATGGAGAGGTCACATAACCAGCCACAGGTTGGCAACTTGGGAGGGAAAGTAAGAGAGAGAGAGGGGGGGAGAGAGAGAGAGGTGGTGGGGGGAGAGAGAGAGAGGTGAGAGAGGGAGAGGGTGAGAGAGGGAGAGAGATGGGGAGGGTGTGAGAGAGAGTGGGAGCATGAGAAAGAGAGAGGGAGGGTGAGAGAGAGAGAGGAAGGCGGAGAGAGAGAGGGAGGGAGGGGGAGTGGGGGAGAGAGAGGGAGGGTGAGAGAGAGAGAGGAAGGCGGAGAGAGAGAGGGAGGGAGGGGGAGTGGGGGAGAGAGAGGGAGGGTGAGAGAGAGAGAGGAAGGCGGAGAGAGAGAGGGAGGGAGGGGGAGTGGGGGAGAGAGAGGGCGGGTGAGAGAGAGAGGGAGAGAGTGAGGAAGGATGAGAGAGTGTGGGTGGGAGAGAGAGAGAGAGAGAGAGAGGAGGGATGGGGACGTGCCACCGAAAAATACAGATGAAGGAGCCCCCACTCTGGGGCACGTTATTGCAGCTACAACAACTTGGATTTATATAGTGCACTTCACACCGGACGGCGTCTCAGAGCGCTTTACAGTAATGGATCCTGGGGCCGAGCCAGAAGGAGGGGGAGGGGCCATGGGGAGGGGAAGGGGCCATGGGGAGGGGAAGGCACGGCCTCCGAGGGTGGAGCGGATTACTCGGGGGACGAGGAGGAGACCAGACCCAGAGGAACAAAGGCAACGGGTACTGTTTTGAGGAGAGAGGAGGTCAGAGAGGTCGGGGGGTGCAGAGGAGTGGAGGGACTTGAAGACCAGAGTGAGGATCTTGAAGTGGATCCTCTCTGGGTCAGGAGCCGGTGCAGTCTGGCAGCTCCTCCTAAACCACGAGGCTGATGCCCCCCTCTCCCCCCCCACCACCGCCCCCAATCACACAACAACAACGCACTTATCCAGCGCTCTCCACGCAGGGCAGCGTCTCAGAGCTTAACAGTGGCGGAGCCTGACTCCAAGCCGGTGGGGGAGGGGGGCGAACAGGAAGGTTTTCAGGCTGGACTTGAAAAAGAGGAGACAGAGAGGGATTGAGGGAGCGTGTGCCAGAGTTTGGGGGTGTAGTGGCTGAAAGCGTGACCTCCAATGTTGGGGCGGAGGGTGTGAGGGATGAGCAGGAGCCGGGGGGCCAGTGGTGGATTGGGGAGTGAGGAGGTCGGAGAGGGAGGAAGGGAGAGAGGGGTCAGAGAGTGAGGGGATTTGAACACGAGAGTGAGAGGATCTTGAAGTGGATGTGTTGGCTGATGGGGAGCCAGGGGAGTCAGGGCCAGAGCTGGGGAGATGTGGGTGTGGAGTCTGTTGGGGTCAGTATGTGGGCGGCAGAGTCTGAATGAGCTGATCTTGTGAATGGTGGCGCTGGGGAGACCGGCGAGGAGAGGGTTGGAGGAATCCAGGCGGGAGGTGACAAACACACACACGAGGGTTTCAGCTACACTTGGAGTAAAGTAAGGTCGGAGGCAGGAAATGTGGCGGAGGTGGAAGAAGGCAGTTTCTAGTCAGGGACCGGATGTGGGGAAGGACAGTTTGGGGTCGAACAGCACGCCTCGGTTGCGCACTGGTTCAGTGAATCTGAGGGAGAGCCCAGGGAGGTTGAGGAGTTTAGATCCGCAGCAGTGAAGATTTTGACGGGAGTCAAGGAGTATGGGTTCCAGCTTGTACGTATTCAGCTGCAGAAAGTTTACACTCATCCAGGCCCTGATGTCTGCCAGACAAGCTGATAGAACATCAGGACCTGCAGTTGGTGCTGGAGACAAAAGTAGATTTGTGTGTCATCCTCAAACATGTGGAAGTTTACCCCGTGTCTACCAATGACATGGCCCAGAGGGAGCATAGAGATAAGGAAAAGAAGAGGCTAAGGATGGAGCCCTGGGGTACCCCGCAGGTGACCGGGTGGGGGCGGGAGGAGAAACCATTTGCTGAGATGTAATGGAGGCGGTTGGTGAAGTAGGACTCAAACCATGCGATGAGGGAGGAGAGGTGGTGGAGGAGGATGGCTTGGTCGACTCGTCGAACGCTGCAGAGAGATCCAAGAGGACGAGGAGGCAGTGGGAGCCCTGGTCACAGATAGAGAGGACGTTGTTTGTGACTTTGACAAGCGCTGTCTCTGTGCTGTGGGCAGTCGGGGCGAAAACCAGACTGCAGCGGCTCGAGGAGGGAGTGGAGGGAGAGGTGTGACCGAAGTTGACCGGTAAGATTGCATTCCAGGACTTTGTCAAGGAAGGGCAAGGTTGGAGATGGGATGGTCGTGTGAGAGATTAGAGAGATCGAGGGTAGGGTTTGAGGAGGGGGTGATGACAGCAGTTTTCAGGGGGAGTGGAACAGAGCCTGAGGAGAGACTGGTTGACCATGTCAGAGGAGGGGGAGTTGAGTGACCAGCAGCTGTGTGGGGAGGGGGTCAAGGCAGCAGGTGGTGAACTTCATCTGGGTAATTGTGGTTAAGGGAGAGGAGGGAGAGATGGGGGCAAAGGAGTGTAAGGAGTGGGGAGTGGTAGGAGCTGTGGCAGAGAGGGAAGGCGATGTGGATGGTCTGGGTGGGGTGGAAGAAGACATGGGCTGGGTGAGGGGGGGGGTGAGGAGGACGATGCAGCCAAGGGGATATTTTTAATTGTTGAGGTGAACAAGTCTAGGACCTCTTTACACTTGGTGTTTAATGTGAGGATGGAAGGGGCTTGAGGGGGCGCACGGAGGAGGTGATGAATGGTGGAAAACAGCATCTTTAGATTGTTGTTTGCCTCCAGGATGACTTTGGAGTAAGAGTCAGTTGTGGGTGAGAAGAGGCGGTGGGTGTGGAGGTGCTCGAGCCACAGCTGCCGGTGAATCGTGAGGCCGGATTCCTGCCATCTGCGCTCGAGGTGTGTGTGTTGTTGTACCAGGGGAGGTGGGGGGTGGGGGGGTGGAAACAACCCTGGATTTCAGGAGAGCCAGGAATTGAAGGTTTTGGGGAGACAGTCATTCAGCAGCTTGACGGCTACATCAGGATCACTGCGGGTAACACACACACATGTGTAAAAGATAAGACACGTAAGGCAGAGGATGGACAGGGCCTATCACACAGCAGCACTGACTTTGGAATGTGTTACCATTTCTGCGAAGATACAGCCCAGGCTCCAGATGTCCACAGCCGTGGAGTAGTATTTACATCCCAGGAGGATCTCAGGGGCTCGATACCACAGGGTGACAACCTGCAGACACACACATATGGCAATCATACACATACACACATGGCGATCAGACGCACACACACGTGGCGATCAGACACACACACACACACACACGGCGATCAGACACACACACACGGCGATCAGACACACACACATGGCAATCAGACACACACACACACGGCGATCAGACACACACGATGATCAGACACACACACGTGGCGATCAGACACACACACATGACGATCAGACACACACACACATGGCGATCAGACACACACACGTGGCGATCAGACACACACACGTGGCGATCAGACACACACACGTGGCGATCAGACATACACACATGGCGATCAGACACACACAATGGCGATCAGACACACACACATGGCGATCAGACACACACACACATGGCGAACAGACACACACACATGACGATTAGACACACACATGGCGATCAGACACACACACACATGGCGATCAGACACGCACACACACACACAAACATGGAGATCAGACACACACACGGCAATCAGTATAAAATCAATGCAATCAATAATCCAGGCTGTGTTGGTGTCGATGGTAAACGAATCGCGGGAAATGAAGTTCTTCTGCGCCGGATTCGACAGATCAAGACAAGGTTTCCCGCGATTCAATACAGCCGCTGTGTGCGGGAGCAATGGAGCCTGGAGGAGCGTGAGCCGAGTTAGAAGATGATTAATACGATCAGCGCAGAGAAATCTAAGTGGTTTTGAGGGTGGGGGGTGGGGGGGCTATCCCAGTGTCGCTGCTACTCTCGAGTCTCTCTCTCTCTTCATGCGCTGACACACCGACACTGACAGGGAATGAGCTGCTGATTCCTGGCTCCTAACCTCGTGGGTGTAGGTCCGGACAGGAACGCCAAAGGCTCGGGCCAGCCCGAAGTCGGCCAGTTTGATAGCACCGTCCGCGTTGATCAGCAGGTTCTGGGGCTTCAGGTCACGGTGAAGCACCCGGTGAGAGTGACAGAAAGCCAGGCCCTGCAACAGCTGGTACAGGTAGCTCTGCCAGAGAGGGAGAGAGAGAAAGAGAGTGTGTGAGAGAGAGAGGGAGGGAGAGAGGGAGAGCGAGAGCACGTGAGCAGGAGAACGAGAGTGCAGGAGTGTACAAGAGCGAGCGGCCGCGAGAGAGTGAGTGAGAAAATGTGTGTGAGAGAGAATGGAGACCAGTGTGAGAATAGTGAGAGAGAGAATGAGAAAAGATTGTGAAAATAGAAAGAATAGAGAGTGTGAGAATAGAGAGGAAAGTGAGGGAGGGAGAGAGAGGCGGGGGAGAGGGGGGAAGAATGGAGCCCCACTTCCCGCAGACTGGTACCTTCACGAGGGGCAGGGGGATCCCACCCACTGACGAGACATCCATGAACTTCTTGAGGTCCTGGTGCAGGAACTCGAAGACGAGGTACAGTTTGTTCTCGGTGTGGATCACGTCTAGTAACCTGCGGGGGTTGGGGGGCGCGGGGGGGAGGGAAATGGGGACACACAGAGAGGTCAGCTCACACAGCAGCCCACCTTCCCTGCTCGCCTCCCCTCCTGATCCCAACCCCCAGCTCAGATGTAAATCCTTGACTGTTCAGAGCCTTGGGACATCCTCCCGACACAATACCAAGCAGAGAGGTCCCTCGCTGGACAAGCAGCAGGAAGCTTGCCAGACAGCGCTCTCAACAAGCAAACTGAGGGGGGTGTAGTGTTTAAACCACAGCAGTTACCCCAACGCCCACTGTGCCCAATCCTGCCTGGGCTCAGAGAGTCAGGGTGTGTCTCTCTACGGGACTCAATTCCAAAGATTAATTCTCCTGGCATTTGACCCAACGTCTCAAAGCGCTTCACATGCTATACTGTAAAGTGTAGTGACTGTGTATTTTGTGGGCGAAACGCAGCAGCCAATTGCGCACAGCAGCGTCCCACAAACAGCTGTGGATTGAGGGACCAGTTTTTTATTTCTTTAGGGAGGTTGGCTTACTTGACGATGTTGGGGTGACTGAGCTCTTTGAGGAGAGAGATTTCCCGGATGGCGGTGCTCGGGACACCTTCCGTCTCCCTGAGAGAGAAGATTAGAGACAATCAGACACATTGTACTGCACAGGAATAACAACAAACATAGCCATATTTATCATAATAATCATAATCCTTACATATGACAATAGCGCCCACAGCTCTGAAATGTCTCAAAAGGACATCACTGGGATATTGCTGTCAAGTGTAGTGACTGTGCATTTTGAAGGCAACATACAATGACGTCCCACTACATTATCCCAAAATTCTGCCCCTCCCCCCAGATATAAATTGGTTGCTCACTTCATGGCTGATCGTGGTACGTTGCTGTGCGAAAATTGGCTGCTGCTTTCACCCAAAAAACACACAATGACTACACCTGTCAGCAGTTGGGGCTCTGTTCGTGGTCCCTCCTCTTCAACGCCTACATGCTCCCTCTTGGTGACATCATCCACAGACATGGGGTCAACTTCCAAATTTAAGGGATGACACCCAACTCTCCTTCTCTGCAAACTATGCAAACTCACTGCTTGTCGCCCCCCCCCAACTCCTCCCTCCACAGGCTGCAGATCATCCAGAACTCTGCAGTCCGTGTCCTCTCCCGCACCAAACTCCGTGACCCTATCGCTCCCATCCTCACCCGACTCCACCGGCTTCCCACCACACAGAGGATATAGTTCAAGATCCTGGTCCTCACCTTCAAAGCCCTCCATGGTCTTGCTCCCCCCGACCCCTCCGACCTCCTAACCCCCTACCAACCAGATCGCTCCCTCCGCTCAGCGGGCTCCGGCCTGCTTCACGTCCCCCACCTCGCTTGCCCCACTATCGGCGGGAGGGCCTTCCGCCACTCTGCCCCCACCCTCTGGAACTCCATTCCATAGGCCTTCCATCTCGCTCCCTCCCTCATCACATTCAAGACCCATCTCAAAACGCTCCTCTTCAACTGTGCCTTCGATCTCCCTGCTTCCCCCCTCCCCGACCCTGACCTCGATCCCCAGCTCGGGTCCGAAACTCTGTCTGTCCAGCGCCTTGGGACGTCTTCCTGACGTGAAAGGTGCTTTACACATGTCATTTTGTTGTTGTTGGTATATCAAATGCCAGTATTATTACTTATCCTCTGAAGTACTGAGTAGTTAGGGGCTGTGTCAGTGACAGGATTATTAATCTCTGCGTTTGATGTGGTGTGTGGTCAGTACAGAGTCAGGGCCTCAGACTGAGTCTGTGTGAGAGAGAGAGAGAAAGAGGAGTGTGCGCGCGCAGGGAGAAAGTGTGTGTGTGTGTGAGAGCGTAAGAGAGAGCATGTGAGTGGGTGTAGAGAAAGTGTGAGTGTGTAAGAGAGAAAGAGTGTGTGTGAGCAGGGAGAACAAAATAAGAAGTGCTGGGAGCCAAAACTTTAAGTTGCATTAATAAAAAAGCAGTTGATAGGAAAGTGGCGGTGATGAGAGACTGGGCTAGACCATAATCCAACATCTAAACAGTTTGCTGGTGACAGACAGAAAGATCTCACCTGTCCAGTATATATTATATATACTGTATATATTATTGAAAAATTTGCAAGGATATGGGGAAACAGTGGGGAAGTGGGACTCATTGGATAGCTATTCAAAAGAGCCAGCGCAGACACGATTGGCCGATGGCCTCCTTCTGTGCTGTAATATTCTATGATTCTATGATAATAATAACAATAGTCCTCGCATTTGATGTGGTGCCTTATCATGTCTTTGAGACGTCTCAAAGCACTTCACGGGATATTCTGTAAAATGAATTGACTGTATATTTTGTAAGCGATTTCCAATCCGTACCTATAAATACACGCACACACAGTGTGTACACATACACACACACTGTGTACACACACACAGTGTATGTATATACATATATATGATACATGTTGATAGGAAATATATACTATATATGGTACAGTACACACACACAAACACATCTACATACACACACATACACACCTAAATATACACACAGCACACACACATACAGTATATATAGTACACACATATACCCACCTATATATATATAGTACACACACCAACAGTGTATATATAATATATATACATGTCGACCACTCTATCCTCATCCACCGCCTCTCCTCTCACCTCAACCTTCACGGTTCTGTCCTTGACCGGTTCAGATTGTACCTCTCACCCCCCCCCGCGTCATCTCCACAAACGGCTTCTCCAGCCCCCGCACCGTCTCGTGCGGCGTTCCTCAGGGCTCTGTCCTTGTCTCCTCTTCAACATCTATAGCCTCCCTCTTGGTGACATCATCCGCAGACATGGGGTCAACTTCCACATGTAAGGGATGACCCCCACCTCTTCCTCTCGGCCTCCCCCCTCGACTCCAGGACCCACTGCTGTCCTGACACAATGTCTGTCAGACGTCAAGTCCTGGATGAGAGCCAACTTTCTTCAGTTGAATGTCAACCAGACCGAGGCTTCTGATTGGCTCCCGTCAGCGCCTCCTCACCTCAGGCGCTGACAGCGTCACCATCCATGGGGCTCACTCCCCCTCACTGAGCCAGTCCCAAACCTTGGGGTCTTGTTTGACCCTCAACTATCCTTTCTACCCCACATCTGTGCCATGACCCGCTCTGCCTTCCCCACCTCCCCAACCTCGCCCGGCTCCGACACTGTCTCACACCGCACCCCCCGAGACCCTCACACACACCTTCATTGCATCGAGGCTCGACTATACAAACTCACTGCTTGTCGGCCCCCAACTCCTCCCTCCACTGACTGCAGCTCATCCAGAACTAACTCTGCAGCCCATGTCCTCTCCCGCACTATCATCCCCATCCTCACCCGACTCCACTGGCTTCCCATCACACAGAGGATACAGTTCAAAATCCTGGTCCTCACTTTCAAAGCCCTCCATGGTCTTGCTCCCTCCGACCTCTGTGACCTCCTAACCCCCTACCATCCTGCTCGCTCCCTCCGCTCAGCGGGCTCCGGAATCGATGGCCCCACTATCGGCGGGAGGGCCTTCTGCCACTCTGCCCCCACCTTCTGGAACTCCATCCCACAGTCCCTCCGCCTCACCCCCTCCGTTGCCACCTTCAAGATCCATTTCAAGACCCTCCTCTTCAACTGTGCCTTCGACCTCCCTGCTTCCTCCCCTGCCCCCCACTCTCCCCGACCCACAGCTCAGGTCTGTAACTCTGTCTGTCCAGCACCTTGGGACATCCTCTCGACGTGAAAGGTGCTGCACACATGTAATTTTGTTGTTGTACATACACACCTATATATACACACAGTACACACACATACAATATATACATATAGTACACATGCATACACAGTATATATATAATACAAACATACATATATAGTATATAAAGTACACACACATACACAGTATATATAGTACACACATACATATACAGTGTATATAGCACGCACACATATACGGTATACACAGTATATATAGCACACACATATAGATTATATGTAGTACACACAAGCATACGGTATATATAGTACACACAAATATACAGTATATAGCACACACACATACTGTATATATAGCACATACACATACTGTATATACAGTATACACACATATACAGTATATATAGCACATATACATATGTGGTATATATAGTACACACACACGTACAGTGTATATAGTACACGCACACATACGGTATATATAGTACACACACATATACAGTACATATAGTACACACACATATACATATAGTACATACACACACACACACAAGTATATGTAGTACACACACATATACAGTATATACACTACACATATATAGTATATATAGTAATCAAACATACAGTATATATAGTACACACACATACAGTATATAGTACACATATATACAGTATATAAAGTACACACACACACATACGGCATACATAGTACACACATACATATACAGTATATAATACACAAACATACACATACAGTATATATAGCACATACACATATACGGTATATATAGTACACACATATACAGTATATAGTACACACAAACAAAAGTATATGTAGTACACACACACATGTACAGTATGTGCAGTACACACATGTACAGTATGTGCGGTACACACATGTACAGTATGTGCGGTACACACATGTACAGTATGTGCGGTACACACATGTACAGTATGTGCGGTACACACATGTACAGTATGTGCGGTACACACATGTACAGTATGTGCGGTACACACATGTACAGTATGTACACGGGACACTCACGTATCGAGGCGGATTTTCTTGAGCGCCACCACTTCCCCTGTGAGTTTGTTTCTGGCTTTATACACCACTCCATAAGTGCCCTCTCCGATCTTCTCCACCTTCTGGAAGTTCTCCATCCTCCCCCTCCCCTCCCCTCCCCTCCCCTCCCCTCCGGGCAGGCAGCCTCCCGGGAACTCGGCACTGGCGGGTCCCGGGGACGGGGTCACGGGTTCCGGGGTCACGGGGTCCCGGGGACGGGGTCACGGGTTCCGGGGTCACGGGGTCCCGGGGACGGGGTCACGGGTTCCGGGGTCACGGGGTCCCGGGGACGGGGTCACGGGTGGAGTTGGCGGGTGAATGGCGACAGTGGTCACTGTGTTTCTGGCGGTGCCTTTCCCGCGCTCTGGCCCCGGAGCCCCGCCCCTCGCCGCCTATTGGCCGGAAACTGTGGGCGGGACAACCGTCAGCCCCGCCCCCTGTGCCCTGACACAGACACTGACACACAGACACTGAGACACAGACAGACACTGAGACACTGATACACTGAGACACAGACACTGACACACAGACACTGAGACACAGACAGACACTGATACACTGAGACACAGACACTGACACACAGACACTGAGACACAGACAGACACTGAGACACTGATACACTGAGACACAGACACTGACACACAGACACTGAGACACAGACAGACACCGAGACACTGAGACACAGACACTGACACACAGACACTGAGACACAGACAGACACCGAGACACTGATACACTGAGACACAGACAGACACTGAGACACTGAGACACTGAGACACAGACACTGACACACAGACACTGAGACACAGACAGACACCGAGACACTGATACACTGACACACAGACACTGAGACACACAGACACTGACACACAGACACTGAGACACAGACACTGAGACACAGACAGACACTGACACACAGACACTGAGACACAGACACTGAGACACAGACAGACACTGACACTGAGACACAGACAGACACTGACACTGAGACACAGACAGACACTGAGACACTGATACACTGAGACACAGACACTGACACACAGACACTGAGACACAGACACTGAGACACAGACAGACACCGAGACACTGAGACACTGATACACTGAGACACAGACACTGAGACACTGACACTGAGACACAGACAGACACCGAGACACTGAGACACTGATACACTGAGACACAGACAGACACCGAGACACTGAGACACAGACACTGACACACAGACAGACACTGACACACAGACACTGAGACACAGACACCAAGACACTGAGACACAGACAGACACCGAGACACTGAGACACAGACAGACACCGAGACACTGAGACTGAGACACTGATACACTGAGACACAGACAGACACTGAGACACTGACACTGAGACACAGACAGACACTGAGACACAGACAGACACCGAGACACTGAGACTGAGACACTGAGACACAGACAGACACTGAGACACAGACAGACACCGAGACACTGAGACTGAGACACTGAGACTGAGACACAGACAGACACTGAGAGACTGAGACACAGACAGACACTGACACACAGACACTGGGACACAGACAGACTGAGACACAGACAGACACTGAGACAGACAGACAGACATACACACACAGACACTGACACACAGACACTGAGACACAGACAGACACTGAGACTGAGACACATACACTGAGACTGAGACACAGACAGACATACACACACAGACACTGAGACACACAGAGACAGACAGACATACACACAGAGACACACAGATACAGACAGACATACACACAGACACAAAGACACACAGACATACATACACAGACACTGAGACACAGACAGACACTGAGAGACTGAGACACAGACAGACACTGAGACTGAGACACAGACAGACACTGAGACAACAACAACAACAACAAGATTCCATTTATAAAGCACCTTTCACGTCGGGAGGACGTCCCGAGGCGCTGCATAGTTGGGTCATGACCCGAGCATTGGGGGGAAATGGTCAGGGTGAGGGGAGGGAAGGGAGGGAGCGAGGAGGGGGGGAAATGGTCAGGGTGAGGGGAGGGAAGGGAGTGAGGAGGGGGGGATGGTCAGGGTGAGGGGAGGGAAGGGAGGGAGCGAGGAGGGGGAAGAGAGTCGAGAGCGGAGCTGAAGGCTGAAGGTCAAAGAGAAAGGTCTTGAGACCAGCCTTGAAGGAGGAAAGGGAGGAAGCGGCGAAGGCACTGGGGATGGAGTTCCAGAGCCACTGAGACTGAGACACAGACAGACATACACACACAGACACTGAGACACACAGAGACAGACAGACAGACATACACACAGAGACACCCAGATACAGACAGACATACAAACAGACACAAAGACACACACATACACAGACACTGAGACACAGACACTGAGACACAGACAGACAGACATACACACACAGACACTGAGACACACAGAGACAGACAGACATACACAGACACTGAGACAGACAGACAGAGACACACAGATACAGACATACACAAAGACACACAGATACAGACAGACATACATACACAGACACTGAGACACACAGACATATATACACACAGAGACACACACAGACTGAGACACACAGAGACATACACACACATATACATACATAGAGATATACATCCATATACACTCACAGACATGCATACACACAGACAGACACACACACACACACACACATACAGATACATTAAACAGAGAGAGAGACATTTTTCTTGGTCAGACGGAGTCTGGTTCATTTGGAATCCCATCACCGTTGCTTAAGACTCTCCAAACCCCACGTACATATGGAAACCCCAGAGATAGATAGTTATTGGAAGGTTATAATAATAATAATAGTCCTTGCATTTGATACAGTGCTTTTCACGTCGGGAGGACGTCCCAAAGCGCTTCACAGAATATACACTGCAGTCCCGGAGACCCTCACACATTACATCAAGGCTCGACTATGCAAACTCACTGCTTGTCGGCGCCTCCCCAACTCCTCCCTCCACAGGCTGCAGATCATCCAGAACTCTGCAGCCCGTGTCCTCTCCCGCACCAGACTCCGTGACCCTATCACCCCCATCCTCGCCCGACTCCACCGGCTTCCCATCACACAGCGGATACAGTTCAAGATCCTGGTCCACACCTTCAAAGCCCTCTATGGCTTTACTCCCCCCGACCTCTGTGACCTCCTAACCCCCTACCCACCTGCTCGCTCCCTCCGCTCAGTGGGCTCTGTCCTGCTTCACGTCCCCCGCCTCGCTCTCCCCACTATCGGCGGGTGGGCTTTCCACCACTCCGCCCCCACCCTCTGGAGCTCCATCCCGCAGTCCCTCCGCCTCACCCCTCCCTCACCACATTCAAGACCCATCTCAAGACGCTCCTCTTCAACCGTGCTTTTGATCTTCCTGCCTCCCCCGCGCCCTCCCCAACCCCGACCCCCAGCTCTGGTCTGTAACTCTGTCTGTCCAGCGCCTTGGGACATCCTCCCGATGTGAAAGGCGCTGTACACATGTAATGTTGTTTTGTTGCTTAACATCTAATAATAATAATAATAATAATCGTTGCATTTGATATAGCGCTGTTCACGTCGGGAGGACGTCCCAAAGCGCTTCACAGAACACACTGTAAAGTGAATTGACTGTATATTTGTGGGCGAACGCGGCAGCCAATTGCACACAGCAATGTCCCACAAACAGTCGTAGATTGAAAATGACCAATTTATTATTGTTTTGGTTTTGGAGGGATTATTATTAGGCTCTGTGTGGAGTAACAACAACAACAAGATTCCATTTATAAAGCGCCTTTCACGTCAGGAGGACGTCCCAAGGCGCTGCACAGTTGGGTCATGACCCGAGCATTGGGGGGAAATGGTCAGGGTGAGGGGAGGGAAGGGAGGGAGCGAGGAGGGGGTAGAGAGGCGAGAGTGGAGCTGAAGGCTGAAGGTCAAAGAGAAAGGTCTTGAGACCGGCCTTGAAGGAGGAAAGGGAGGAAGCGGCGAAGGCACTGGGGGATGGAGTTCCAGAGCCTCGGGGCTGAGAGGCTGAAGGCCCGGTCATCGATGGTAGGGCGGTTGGGGCGGGGGACGTGGAGCAGACCGGAGCCAGAGGAACGGAGGGTACGGGCAGGTAGGTAGGGGGATAGTAGGTCGGAGAGGTAGGAGGGAGCGAGGCCGTGAATGGCCTTGTAGGTGAGGATGAGGATCTTGAAATCAATCCTCTGGGGGATGGGGAGCCAGTGGAGGCGAGCGAGGGTGGGAGTGATGTGGTCCCGAAGCCTGGTGCGGGACAGTACACGAGCTGCAGAGTAAGGAAACTTGCCCGAGGTTTCGCCCTCTGCCTGGAATTGAACTCAGGTCTCTCACTTGCAAAGCGAGTGCTCTAACCACTGAGCTACAGACAGAGAAAGAGACACACAACAACACATAAACAAAGAGACACAGACAGACATAAATAGAGAGCGACACACACACATACCTACATACAGGCACACAGAGAGTCACACCCACACACACAGGACACGGAGCTCAACTCAGTGCAACTTGAATGTCAGAGAGAAGGATTATTACTATTATCTGAGAAACTCTGTGGTCAGAGGGCGGACAGAGGGGGAGAGAGGGCCGAGGGTTTGGGGCAGTGAAGGGGTTTGTAGCGATCACTGGCATTAACATGAGCAGCTCATTAGAGGAAAGGAACTCCCTAATCCTATGTTCACTGTAGTCTGTCTGATCTCCTGCCCAGTCTGTTACTCATGGTCACACCATTAAACATAAAAGCAGTAAGTCAGAACGTCCCCTCCCCGCCCAACCCGTGCCCCCTCTCAGCCCCACACACCCCCCGTCCTCGGGATGCCAGGAATACAGATCCACGCGGCGAGTTTGGGAAACTAAAGGGATGTTGAAAACTGTAATTTTTAATAATAATCGAGTCCGTGTGTCAGTGGCCCACACCACAGTCTCACTCTCAGAAACCTCTGTAAAGTCTGCACTGTCTGTCTGTGTGTGACTCTGTGTGTGACTGTGTGTGTGACTGTATGTGCTTTTGTGTGTGTGACTCTGTGTGTGTGACTGTGTGTGTGTATGTGTGTGTGAGACTGTGTGTGTGTGACTGTGTGTGTGAGACGCTATGTGTGTGTGTGACTGTGTGTGTGTGACTGTGTGTGTGAGACTCTGCCTGTGGGAGATTCTGTGTGACTGTGTGTAAGTGTGTGTGAGACTCTGTGTGTGTGCGACTGTGTGTTTGAGAGACTGTGTGTGTGTGTGTTTGTGTGTGACTGTGTGTGTGTGTTGCTATGTATGACTATGTATGTGTGTGTATGACTGTGTGTGTGTGAGACTGTGTATGACTATGTATGTGTGTGTATGACTGTGTGTGTGTGACTGTGTGTGTGTCCATTTGCCTGGCTATTGGGGAGGGAGGGGGGTGGGGGGTTAATGTGGCTCTGGGTACCCGGGCGGGGAGGGAAGGACCACTCTGGGGACGCGCTCGGTCGGTCCCTCTGTCCTCTCCAGTATGTGAGCGGCTAAATCAGGGACTTGTCTCTCCGCAAACTAACACCGACAATCTGCACCTCACACCTCGGCAGCGCCTCACACCACCTCTCAGCTCACAATGTTCTTCACAGCTTCCAAAATAACCCTCCACGAGGGGCACACGTGTGTGTGGGGGGGGGGGAGTGGTGTGTGTGTGTGGGGGGGGAGTGGTGTGGGGGGGGGAGTGGTGTATGGGGAGAGGGGGAGTGGTGTGTGTGTGGGGAGAGGGGGAGTGGTGTGTGGGGAGAGGGGGAGTGGTGTGTGTGGGGGGGGAGTGGTGTGGGGGGGGGGAGTGGTGTATGGGGAGAGGGGGAGTGGTGTGTGTGTGGGGAGAGGGGGAGTGGTGTGTGGGGAGAGGGGGAGTGGTGTGTGTGGGGGGGGGAGTGGTGTGTGTGGGGGGGGAGTGGTGTGTGTGGGGGGGGAGTGGTGTGTGTGAGGGTGAGTGGTGTGTGTGTGTGGGGGGGGGGAGTCGTGTGTGTGGGGGAGTGGTGTGTGTGTGGGGGGGGGGGAGTGGTGTGTGTGGGGGGGGAGTGGTGTGTGTGTGTGGGGAGGGGAGTGGTGTGTGTGGGGGGGGGAGTGGTGTGTGTATGGGGAGAGGGGGAGTGGTGTGTGTGTGGGGGGGGAGTGGTGTGTGTGTGTGTGGGGGGGGAGTGGTGTGTGTGTGTGGGGAGGGGAGTGGTGTGTGTGTGTGGGGGGGGAGTGGTGTGTGTATGGGGAGAGGGGGAGTGGTGTGTGTGTGGGGAGAGGGGGAGTGGTGTGTGTGAGTGTGGGGGGGGAGTGGTGTGTGTATGGGGAGAGGGGGAGTGGTGTGTGTGTGGGGGGGGAGTGGTGTGTGTGTGTGTGGGGGGGGAGTGGTGTGTGTATGGGGAGAGGGGGAGTGGTGTGTGTGTGTGGGGGGGGAGTGGTGTGTGTATGGGGAGAGGGGGAGTGGTGTGTGTGTGGGGGGGAGTGGTGTGTGTGTGTGGGGGGGGAGTGGTGTGTGTATGGGGAGAGGGGGAGTGGTGTGTGTGTGGGGAGAGGGGGAGTGGTGTGTGTGAGTGTGTTTTCACTGAGACACGAATCTCCGCTCACGTTCACTCCCCTTCCTCGCTCACTCTCCCTGACGCCTGTTGTCACTGTTCACTGTTCACCATCAGAGAGTGAAGGGAAGAGAGACGGAGGGCAGAGAACCGCAGCCGCTCACCATCAGCGACACAATCAATAACATCATATCATCAATCACATGGCTATCTATATCAGGGTCTGGGATCCCGTTGATGAACACCGTCAATTAGACCCCAATAACAAAGCTGGACAGAGGCCGGGGGGGGGGGAGTGAGATACATGGAACAGCTTCCTTTCTCGGGTGGGAGGCGGGAAGGGGCAGGGGCAGGGGCAGGGGGCAGGGGCAGGGCCAGGGGCAGGGGGCAGGGGCAGGGGGCAGGGGCAGGGGCAGGGGCAGGGCCAGGGGCAGGGGCAGGGGGCTCGGGTTGGGTGGGGGACCTGAACACCCAGGTTGTGGGGATGGCTCAAATGGGCTGAATCGCCTCCTTCTGCCCTGTGGGGTTCTGTGACTGGAGCATCTCAAAGCTTTCGGCTCAAACCGGTCGCTCACCTCACGGCTGTGGGGCTTCTGTGTCACCCACCAACACACAGTCACTACACTTGACAGAATGATTGTGAGGAGCTTTGAGACGCTTTGATTTCGCCCACAAAATACAGTCAATTCACTTGACAATGTATCCTGTGAAGCGCTTGGAGGCGCCTCAAAGACGTGATAAGGCGCGGTGTCAAATGCCAGGATTATTATTATTATTAACCCTCGCAGAGCCTGGGATACAGCCCGTGTTCTCAAATGCTTCCTCAGGGAAACGGCCGTCAAGTGACATTGACTGATTATTAATGATAATAATAATAATAGTTCCTCACATTTCATACAGCGGCTTTCACCACGTTAAGATGTCTCAGAGTGCCTGGCCGAATTCACTATAAGATGTAGAGACTGTGCAATAATAATAATAAAAATAATCCTTACATTTCAAGATGGCGTTTATTCTTCTTAATAATAATTATTATTATTATTACGACAAACAGGCAATCAAACAGGGAATAATAGCTCCGTGTCCAAGAGGCTGAGGCTGTTCTCTGATGTCACGAAGAGGTTGGGTTTCCATTAATCAGCGGGTTCCCACTTATTTAAAAGGTGCTGCTGCTTCAGGTCTGTTCTCTTCGTCTTTGAGTTGGATGAGAGCGCGAGACAGAGCGACAGAGAGAGAGACAGAGAGGGAGAGAAGAAAGAAGAAAAATGTGGAGCAGTTTACAACTAATCTCGGTGCTGATTGCCTGGGCTGGGGCTGGGGCTGTGTTGGCCGGTAAGTCTCTTACAATATTCACTCCAGTTCTGATCAATGTTATAATCGAGACATTTATATGCACGTTAGAGGTGCCAATATCAATGCCAGTTATTGTAATGGTTATTATTAGTGAATAATAATAATAATAACATAATCCTCACATTTGATACAGTGCCTTCCATGTCAGGAGGACACTGCAAAGTGTAGTGACTGTATGATTTGTGGGCAAACAAGGTAGCTAATTTGCCCACAAAGAAGCAAACAAAGTGAATTTCTCACTGGGAGAGAAACTCTCTTTTCTTTTCGAACAATGCCGTGGAATCTTTAATGTCCACCTGAACAGGCAGACGGGACCTCGGTTTATAATAATAAATAATAATAATAATCCTTGCATTCGATATAACCTTATCACTTTGTTGAAATGTCTCAAGCGCTTCACAGGTAAAGTACAGTAACTGTATATTTTGTTGGTGGAAACGGCAGCCAACCTCTCATTTGAAAGAGAAAACATGTAAGAGGTGTCTTAGTCTCTGGTCTAAAAGGAGGCCATTCGGTCCATCAAATTTATACTCAGAGTGAGTTGTCCATTCAATCCCCCTGCCCTGCCCTAACCCCAAACCTTCAATCCTTCACGTACCCGTTTACTTCACTCACTCATGAAGTTCACACCACATTCTGCAAATCAAGTTGTTGTAACATCGTATGGAGACGCACAGCACAGAATAGTGGTTGGACACTTGCCTCGCAGGATCTGGGTTTGATGCCCGGGCAGGAGTGAAACCTTAGGCAAGTTTCCTTACTCCACACACACGCCTCTGTTTACCTAGCGATAAGAAGGAACCTGGTTGGCCTTTGCAGGGGTAATAATCCCTTCGAAAAAAAGAAAAATTTGGTCACTCAATCCAAGACTGTTTGTGGGACGCTGCTGTGCACAATTGGTTGCCATGTTTCGCCCACAAAATATACAGTCACTCCACTTTACAGTATATTCTGCAAAACGCTTTGAGACGTCTGAATGATGTGATGAGGCGCTGTAAGAAATGCAAGAATTATAATGATGATGATGCAGTTTATAAGGTTTGGTGTTGATGATGGATTAACGTTCTCACAGCCCAGGGACTGAGCGTGTTTGTCAGTCAGTGCTGTTACACGTAAGTGCTGTACATTAATGAACGCTCTGCAGTTCAGACTGTTGCATTCACTCCGTTATGTACCGGAGATGTGCTGTTAGGCTCCTGAGGCAGGAACAGATGCTACACTCGGGAGCTGTCTGCACCACATTTACACTGTCACTTTCACAGCTCCAGAGACTGCAGGCGTCGGTGTGAACCACACACTGAGTTTATAAAATGACCCGTCTCAGTGCTGCAGGTTCCACCTCAGTCACAAGGCTGGTTGCTTTGTGGAGTCCTGTAGCTCAGTGGATAGAGCGCTCACCTCGCACACGAGAAGACCTGGGTTCGGTTCCCGAACAGGGTGAAACCTTAGGCAAGTTTCCTTACTCCACGCACCTCTGTTTACGCAGCACCTGGTTGTTAGTCGATTGGCGGATCAGTTTTCTGGGGGTAATAATCCCTTCAAAAAAAAATAATGTGGTTACTGAATCCGCGACTGTCTGTGGGACGCTGCTCTGCGCAATTGGCTGCTGCATTTCGCCCACAAAATATACAGTCAATTCACTTTACAGTGTGTCCTGTGAAGCGCTTTGAGACGTCTCAAAGATGTGATCAGGCGCTGTGTCAAATACAATCCTAATCCGGCTCCAGGGATTTTGCAGGGAATATTCCAACACTCAGTGTGCGTCCCTGTTTATTGAGGATCTGTGGACGTTCAGAAACAGTGAGAGAAAAGGCACACAGGGTTTTTTTGGCCAGTGCCCCCCCCATTAACCCTTCCTTCTCTGGCTGGGATTAGTTGCCTCAGCTGAGCGTCACATGAAAGCGATCATCTGAAGCTGTGAGGCAGGCATGTGATGGCAATGTGTGCGCAAGGAAGGAACCCTGTGGGGAGGCAGGGCATCACATGCCATCAGCACTGATGTTCCTTCAGGCAGAAATACCCCCAAACTGTGGGAACAAAGAGTTGTACAGCGAAAGAGAAAGGAACGGGCTGATTGTGAGCTTCCCTTTCACAACCAACCTCTCCTTCACCGACACAGACAAACAATAATAATCCTTGCATTTTGATTCAGCGCCTTATTACGTCTTCGAGACACCGTAAAGCGCTTCACTGAATAAATTATTGTGGGTGAAAACGCAGCAGCCAATAGTGCACAGCAGTGTCCCATGAATAATAATAATAATAATAATAATCCTTGCATTTGATATAGCGCTTTTCACGTCGGGAGGACGTCCCAAAGCGCTTCACAGAACACACTGTAAAGTGAATTGACTGTATATTTGTGGGCGAACGGCCACAGCCGTGAACAGCCGTGGATTGAGTGACCAAATTGTTATTTTTTTGGAGGGACTATTACCCTTGGAAAGCGATTTGCCAATCGACTAACAACCAGGTTCCTACTTACTGCTGGTAACCAGAGGGCTGTGGAGTAAGGAAACGATTCATGGGAGTGAGTCACTGTGAAGTGAGTGATTGTGTGTTTTTGTCTGTGAATCTCATTTAGAGGCGATGTATTTAGTGTAGGATGCCGTGTCCCTGGTGCCTTGTGTGGCTGCTCTCTCTTTTTCTCCAGGATAATAATAATAATATTTGTTATTATTAGGATCTCCTAATGATGGCCACAGGAGCAGGAAAGGGAATGTGTCTCCAGGCCGATTCCCTGGATCCAGGTCCTGGGATTCACACCTGTATCCTGACTGGAGCAGCGGAGACTGGAATCGCAGTGACTGCTGGAAAGGTAAGAGAGACCGAGAGACAATTCCTCATTCTGTGAAAATGATAATAATCTTTGCATTTGATGTAGCGCCTGATCACGTCATTGCAACGTCTCAAAGTGCTGCACAAGCTATACTGTAAAGTATGGTGACTGTGTATTTTTTTTGGGTGAAACATGGCAGCCAGTTTGCACTCAGCAGCGTCCCACACACAGCCAGGAGGGTAAGTGAGCCACCAATTTTATTTAGGGGGATTGAGTTCAATTCCCGGAAGAGGGCGAAACCTTGGGCAAGTTTCCTTACTCCACACAGAGCCTAATAATATTCCCTCCAAAACCCAAACAATAATAAATTGGTCATTTTCAATCTACGACTGTTCGTGGGACATTGCTGTGTGCAATTGGCTGCCGCGTTCGCCCACAAATATAGTCAATTCACTTTACAGTGTGTTCTGTGAAGCGCTTTGGGACGTCCTCCCGACGTGAAAAGCGCTATATCGAATGCAAGGATTATTATTATTATTATTATTATTTATTATTATTAGTATTATTAACCAAGACAACTGCAGCATTTCCTAGAAGTTTCTGCCTTATTTATGTGCTGATGTAACGTGTTTGATCGCTGCTCAGGAGCCTGTTTTAACTTCTGTTTATAATAATTGATAATAATAATCCTTTTATTTGACTTAGCGCCTTATCACGTGGTTGAGACACCTCAAAGCGCTTCACAAGACATACTGTACAATGCAGTGACTGTGTATTTCGTCGGTGAAACACGGCAGCCAATTGCACACAGCAGGTCCCACACACAGCGGTGGAGTGAGTGACCTTATTGTTATTTTCTGGTTATTGTGTAGGTGGGTCAGTTTCCTTTCAACTCAGCAACGATGCCCCCACCCTGACAGGCGCTAAATCCAGCTTCTACATCGACCTGAAATTCCCCGTCAACCAGAGTGTCCAGGCTGACGGAGAGGTGGTCTGGGCGGAAAACTGTACGGTAAACGGTGAGAGAGTTCACACGTATCTCATTAGGCTTTCATATTGATCACTCAGCGATCTCACAGATTTCCCTTTACTTTTTGTCGGTGTTTTCTCCCTCTCTCCAACAGCCATTCCACTCCTTCGTCTCCCTGTGCACACACACACACATATACACACACACATATACACACACACACCTATACATACACTCATATATACACACACATATACACATGCACAAATGTACACACACACACGCACGCATAGATGCATACATACACACACACGCGCGCACACACAGACACAGGTGCACGCGCATACAGGCTCAGGCGCGCCCATACACACAGGCGCACATGCACACACAGGCGCACGTGCACACACACACACACATACACATGTGCACACAAACACATACACGTACGTGCGCACACACAAACACGCATGAGCACATACGCATAGACAAGCACACGCAGACACACCCACATAATTTGCTCGCGCACACACACAACAATCTTGAAGTCAATCTCTCTACCTTTTCCCCCTGTGCTATTTCAACACACACAATGGCCGCGTTTGCCGAGTGCGACGTGGATTAATTTAACCCTTCCCGCGCTTCCTCCCCCCGCAGGCACGCATGTGAGGCACGGAGACCCGGTGTATCCCAGCGACCGGCTGCAGGAGGCGGACGGTGTGTTTCCAGACGGAAAACCCTTCCCGGGGAACTCAGCGAGGAGACGCTCCAAGTTCGTCTTTGTCTGGCAAACCCTGGGTAAGAGGAACGCCATTGGGAGGTGCTGGAGCTTAGTGTGGGCGTGTGTGTGGGTGCGTGAGTGCGTGGAGTGAGGAAACTTGCCTAAGGTTTCGCCCTGACCCGGCCGGGAATCGAACCCGGGACCTCATTTGTACAAGTCCTTGTAGCGTAGTGGTTAGCTCGCTCGCTCGCGCTGCGCTAACCACTACGCTACAAGGACTTGTACAAACGAGGACCTGGGTTTGATTCCCGGCCAGGACTTGTATAAATGCGCATCATTCTTATTAATAAAATATTATTGTTATTGATTTGCAGGAAAGTACTGGCAGACGGTGGATGGTCCCAGCTCGGTGTTGGTTGTGGACACAGCGGAAGCCCAGTTAGGCTCCTACACCATGGAGGTGGTGGTGTATCATTACCGCGGTCACAGGAAATTCGTTCCCCTGGGCAAGGCCACCTCGCAGTTCACCATCACGGGTAACGAAGCGGACCACGGGAACCTTAGGAACAGGAGGAGGCCATTCAGCCCCTCGAGCCTGCTCCGCCATTCCGTTAGATCCCGGCTGACCTGTGCCTCAACTTCAATTACCCGCCTGTGCCCCAGAACCAGGGCTCAAACCACTGGTTGTGGGGACACTGCTGTATGCAATTGGCTGCCGTGTTTCACCTGCAAAATATACAGTCAGTGCACTTTACAGGACAGTTACAGTGTGGGGGGGAATCCAGAACAAGGGCGGCAGTTTTTCATGCAAAGGGGAGTGGAAATCTGGAACTCTCTCCCTCCCCCAAAAGGCTGTGCGTGGAGGTTGGATTCAAAACCTCGTCGAGACGTCTCAAAGCGCTTTGCAGGATACACTGTGAGGTGGTGTTCGTGTGTTTTTGGGGCGAATAGCGGCAGCCAATTGCGCCCAGTGACGTCCCCACCAAACAGTCGCCGGTTTTAGCGAATCTGCTTCCTCCGCCCTTTGAGGCAATGAATTCCAGAGCGTAACAAACAAACCTAACTCCTTGACTTTGCCTCTGACTTTGCAGTCCTGCCCTCCCCCCGCGCGTCGCTGTGCGGTGTTTCTGGGCCGTTCCTCACCGCCCCGTTTGTTGTTGTTGTGTTGTTGTTGTTGTGTGCAGACCGGATCCCGTTCTCCGTGGCTCTCTCCCAGATCAGTGACCTGAACCAGGACGACGCCAGCTTCATCCAGGACCGCGCTATACTCTTCAATGTCCGTCTGCACGACCCCAGCCGCTACCTGACCGAGGCCGACCTCAGCTTCTCCTGGGATTTTGGTGACGGTAGCGGCAGCCTGATCTCCCGGGCCAACGCCGTCACTCATACCTACCTCTCTGCCGGGACCTTCAGACCCCAGGTGGTCCTGCAGGCCACCCTCCCCTCCCCCTGCACCACCACCAACCCCCCCCGCTCACCCACAACCTCAGACCCTCAGCCTGCAGCCCCCTCCACCACTGTCCGCCTGAACCCCACAACGCCCTCTCCCCTCTCTGGACAGCCCACTGCAGCCCAGGGCACCACAGGTGAGAGAGAGCAGGGTGGTGAGGGGTGGGGGGTGGGGGAATTGGGGAGAGGGGAACAGGAAAGGGGGGTAACAGGAGGGGGGGTAACGAGAGATAGGGGTAACGGGAGGGGGGGAATATGGAAGAGGAGAGGGGGAATGGGGGAGTAGGGTAAAGGACAAGTGCAGCGAGTGTGGGGTATAATCACCGGCACAGACTGGTTTGCACAGGCCTGTGTCTGTGCAGTCGATTCCGATCACACGGAGACGGGAATTTAATGTTAATTCCCTTCTGTCCCCAGACAGTGTGGATCCCTCTGAGCAGCCAACAGCGGAGCAGCCAACCCCAGCCACAACCCCAGCCACAACCCCAGCCACAACCCCAGCCACAACCCCAGCCACAACCCCAGCCACAACCCCAGCCACGGCCGGCCTGACCTCCGTCTCCATCCCCGACCCTGTCCCGAGCTCTGTGCCCAGCCAAGCCTCCGCCTCCACCATCGCTTCGGGGGCTTCAGCCTCTCCTGTAGTGACTCTCACGTCCCGGGACCCTCCGGTCGCCGTGACAACCTCAGCTCCTGCTCCAGCCCTCGCCCTGGCCGTGTCTGAGATGGTCCCCGACGTCTCTGTCTCTGTGAACCCCCCCGGCTTGGCCGTGTCTGTGACCCCGGCTCCCCCCGAGGCTGTCTCTCTCCTCGTGGAGTCAGACCTGGGGACGGAAGCCACCAACGGAGCCACAGCCGACAACCTGATACAAGCCACCAACACACCGCCTCCTGCGTCCGAGCAACCAGTGGGTAAGTCGCCCGCGATCAGCAGGTGGTCAGTGCAGAGGGATAGGGATGAGAGGAGAGAGAAGGGATCAGTGAGGGAGGAGCCAGGAGGTTTTGGGGGGGGATTTTGAGGGAGAGAGAGAGGAAGGATGGTAAAGGGCGAGGTGCTCAAACGAGGGGCAAACAGCCAGAGGAATAGGGGGATAAACCATGGGAGGTTTGGGAGATGACGGTCACCCCAATCCCCGTGACAGTTGGGGCAGAGCATGTGGTGGAAAGCATAGCCAGGGGGGAGGCTTCGATGGGGGGAACGGGGTCATGGAGGGACCGGCAGGTTCCTGGGAGCCCTAGGATGTCAATCGGCTCATCCAGGATGCGGTCATGGATGGCGAGGGCTTTGATTGAGAGGGAGTGGACATTTTGGAGGCTGATGGGGGCGCTGATGAGAGAGGGTGGATGCATGAGGTGGGACAGGGGAGGGGTTTGGGAGGGGAAGAATTGCAGGTCGCGGGGGAAAAATGACTGGGGGGGTTTCTTAAGAACGGCGCTGTGATAAATGTAAACTGTGGTGTAATGGTGAAACGTGGGTAGGTGTCTGAGGAGATTGTGTGTCTGCGTGTTTTTACAGGCGGTTCGGTGACTGCTCCTGGCACAGCCCCCCCCAGCTCAGCCCCCCCCAGCTCAGCCCCCCCCAGCTCAGCCCCCCCCAGCTCAGCCCCCCCCAGCTCAGAAGCAGCTCTGGTGCTGGTGAAGCGACAGGTCGCTGTGGACTCCGAAAACTGTTTTGTCTATCGTTATGGCACCTTTTTGGCCGCCATCAACATCATCCGTGAGTAGCCTCAAACCAACAGCAATACCCGACAGCTACACCGCGGCTTTCAGATCGGGAGGGCGTCCCAACGCTCTGGGCAGTCAGAGATTTGGACCTGAGCTGGGGGTTGGGATCAGGAGGGGGTGGAAGGTGGGGCGGGTGGGGGTAGGAGGGTGCCTGAAGAGGAAGGTCTTGAGACGGGCCTTCAAGGAGGCGAGGGAGGGAGCGAGGAGGAGGGACTGTGGGATGAAGTTCCAGAGGGTGGGGGCGGAGAGGCTGAAGGCCTGACCATCGATAAACATCAACAACCTAACACTCTCGCTGCTCGAGCGCCTTGAGACGCCCACCTGTGGACACACTGATAATTACAGCCCAGGAGAGAGCACTCGGCCCAGCGTGTCTGTGCAGGTCCCTCAAGGCACTAATAATAGTAATAATAATAATCCTAGCATTTGATATAGCGCCTGATCACGACTTCGAGACGTCTCAAATCACTTCACGGGATACACTGTAAAGTGAATTGACGGTATGTTTTGTGGGCGAAACACGGCGCCAATTGCGCACAGCAGCGTCCCCACAAACCCCATTTTTTTTGAAAGGATTATTACCGCTGGAAAACGATCCACCAATCGACTAACAACAGGTTCCTACTTACTGCTGCGTAAACAGAGGCGTGTGGAGTAAGGAAACTTGCCTAAGGTTTCGCCCTGCCCGGGAATCAAACCCACGTCCTCTCGCTTGCGAGGCGAACTGACCACTACATCACAGGGCTCCACGATCAGCCCACAGTGTTAAAGTATAATGTGACTATCACTGAGTGTGTTGTTTTCCTGTCTGTCTGTGCTGTGCTTTCTCTCTCACTCACAGAGGGAATCGAGAGGGTGGAGATTGTGCAGGTGGAGAGCGTGGTGGGGAGCTCAGTGTCTGGGGAGCAGCCCAATGCCGTGGACCTCACAGTGACCTGCCAGGGCAGGTACAGCACAAACCAACCTCCGCAACCACCATCATAGAGGGGAAACAACAACACATGAAAGTTACACAGCACCTTTCACGTCGGGAGGACATCCTAAGCCACTGGATAGTCAGGGATTTGGACCCGAGCTGGGGGTTGGGATCAAGAGGGATGGAGGGCGGAGAGGGTGGAGGGAGGGGGGGTAGGAGGGTGACTGAAGGTGTGGTCGAAGAAGAGGGTCTTGAGACGGACCTTGAAGGAGGCGAGGGAGGGAGCGAGATGAAGGGACTGAGGGATGGAGCTCCAAAGGGTGGGTGGTGGTAGAGAGGTGGTGAAGACTGGTGTGATACACTTACTTTACAAATATCTATCCACTTCAAGACTGAGGCGGGGGAGATGTTTGTCAGGTTAGGGGATCAGGGGATACGGGGCAAAAGCGGGTAATTGGACTTGAGGTACAGATCAGTCATGATCTGATAGAATGGTGGAACAGACTCGAGGGGCTGAATGGCCTCCTCCTGTTCCTGTGTGTCTGGGTGATGTGGGTGCAGAGTGTGCGAGGTTTTATGAACGCTGTGACTGACATCTCTGGCCCTAGCTTCCCCAGTGAGGTGTGTACGGTGGTGTCGGACACGGACTGTGAGACCCCGGGGCAGAGCGAGTGCCGTGAGGTGCCCCCCGCAGCCCAGTGCCAACTCGTTCTCCGTCAAGTCTTCAACTCCTCTGGCTCCTACTGTGTTAATGTCTCTCTCACCAACCAGGTCAGCCTTGCCCTGGCCAGCACCCGCGTCACCGTCAGCCCAGGTAACAGTCACTACACCTCACAGTCACTACACCTCACAGTTAATACACCTCACAGTCACTACACCTCACAGTCACTACACCTCACAGTCAATACAACTCACAGTCACTACACCTCACAGTTAATACACCTCACAGTCACTACACCTCACAGTCAATACACCTCACAGTCACTACACCTCACAGTCATTGCACCTCATATCTCACATTTCACAGTCATTTCACCTCAGTCACTATACCTCACAGTCACTACACCTCACAATCACTACACCTCACTCCTCACAGTCACTCCACCTCACAGTCACTCCAACTCACAGTCACTACACCTCATACCTCACAGTCACTACACCTCACAGTCATTGCACCTCATATCTCACATTTCAGTCATTTCACCTCACAGTCACTATACCTCACAGTCACTACACCTCACAATCACTACACCTCACTCCTCACAGTCACTTCACCCCACAGTCACTCCAACTCACAGTCACTACACCTCATACCTCACAGTCACTCCACCTCACAGTCACTGCATCTCACAGTGACTGCACCTCACAGTCACCACCCCACAGAGACTCGTGACACGTACTTTTGAGACGGGACGACCCGACACCATGATAAGGCCCTATAGTTCAATACAATAATTATTAATATTATTATTGCTCATAGGAACACAAGAAAAAGGAGCAGGAGGAGGTCATTCAGTCCACAGTGCCTGTTCCGCTGCTCTAAACGCTCTGCCGCATTGTGTCCACAAAATATACAGTCACTACACTTTACCGTGTATCCTGTGAAGCGCGTTGAGACGTCTCAAAGACGTGATAAGGCGCTGTATCAAATGCCGAGATTATTATTATTATTATTGACTGTGCCAGACGTGTTTGCTGTCAGTTGCAGGCGCGGCCCCTCACACTGCGGAGGCTCTGGTGTTGGTGGGGATGCTGCTGATCGTGGGGGTGATGGGCGCCGTAGCCGTGATCTACAGGTAAGTGAGCGCCAGCCCACAGAGCAACTGCTCACCCCAGTCCCTCACACTGAGCTCCGTCCCCCCATCACCCCGGCCCTCGCCAGCCCCCACTGGTCCAGTCAGGATCCTCACACTCGTTTTCAAATCCCTTCATGCGCTCCCCACCTCTCCGACCTCTTTCTTACTCCGCAGCCCACTACCCGCTGCCTCCGCTCGACTGGCTCCGGTTTCCTGCTTGTCCCTCAAACCCTCCGGTTGTTAGTCGATTGGCGGATCACTTTTCCGGGGGTAATGTAACCTGTTTAAAAAAATTTTTTATTAAAAAATAATAATTTGGCCACTTCAACCCACGACTGTTTGTGGGACGCCGCTGTGCACGATTGGCTGCTGTGTTTCGCCCACAAGATATGCAGTCACTACACTTTACCGTGTATCCTGTGAAGCGCTTTGTGACGTCTCGAAGACATGATCAGGCGCTGTATCAAATGCACGGATTGTTATTATAACAGCCAACGCTGCGGGACTCTACCCTGTGTGAGAGGTGCTGCACAAATGCAAATTGGTGTCGTTGTTGATGTCATTAAATGTTCTTCACTCAACAGACGGTACAAAGACTACTCTCCACTGCATGAGAACCCCTCAAAGGCCCCCGGGGCACAGGGCCCCGACAAGCCCACGGTCAATCTCTTCATGAGGAGCCTGTTCAGCCGTCAGCGGCCCAGGGCCACCGAGAGCAGCCCCCTGCTGCACGGCTGTGTGGTCTGAGACCTCCCCCTGCCCACCTCAAGGCCCCTACAAGGTCCGTACATCAACAACGATAAGTGTCCGTCACTTGCTCGGTGTGGGGAATTCTTTACTGGAGGAGAGAGAGGGGGAGAGAGTGGGGGAGAGAAAGAGAGAGGTAGAGCGAGGAGGGAGGGGGGCCAATGGGGAAGGAAAAATCCACTGAAGTAAACACTGCTTTAAGATCCTTGGCTTTTGCCGATCTTTTTTTATCTGGGGAATCACACAACTCGATATTTCAGAGCTGATCGCCCAAGACGCACAGTCACTACACTTAATCCACGACTGTTTGTGAGACGCTGCTGTGTGTAATTGGCTGCCACGTCTCACGCACAAAATATGCAGTCAATTCACTTTACAATATATTCTGTAAAGTGCTTTGAAACGTCTCAAAGACGTGATGAGGCGTTGTATTAAATACAAGGATTATTGTGATTATTATTTACAGTGAATCCTGTGAAACGCTTTGAGATGTCCTCCCAACGTGAAAGACTCGAATGTAAGGATTATTATTATTATTATTTTAAGATTTCTTCGGAGGAAGAAAACCCTTTAGCTCGGTTTGGAAACACCACCATCGGCAGACGTACCTGTAATCTGCAGCACTCTCTCTCCGATCCACAACAATAAAGGAATGAAACTTGATCAACCGTTTCCCTGTACTTTGCAAACTGACTGCACTGTTTGTCTACAATCTCCACAGTCACTACACTTGACAATGAATCCTGTGAAGCGCTTGAAATGCGTTCGACGATATGATAGGGCACTGCATCAAACTGCAAAGGTTATCATAATCAATAACTTTTGTCTCTGGTTAATATCCTGTGGTTTTATGCGTTCCGGAGTAATAATCCCTCCCCCAAAAATAATAATAATGTGGTCACCCAATCCACGACTGTTTGTGGGACACTGCTGTGCGCAATCGGCTGCTGCGTTTCGCCCACAGTCACTACACTTTACAGTACACTCAGTGAAGCGCTTTGAGACGTCTCGAAGACATGATAAGGCGCTGCATCAAATGCGAGGATTATTATAATTATTACTATGCTCACGTACGTCACTGTGTTGGGATTTCTCAGATCTACTCTATTCCCACAGATGTTGATTGTTTGGAGGAATTCAGTGAAGGCTTTTGCACCAAAAACACCGGAGAATCTCTCCAGTGGTGGAGCCCAATGTTGGTTTTGTTTATCAGCCGCGTGTCTGACACACGGAAACCCGTCACCGTGACCGGTCGGTGTCTGACACACGGAAACCCGTCACCGTGACCGGTCGGTGTCTGACACACGGAAACCCGTCACCGTGACCGGTCGGTGTCTGACACACGGAAACCCGTCACCGTGACCGGTCGGTGTCTGACACACGGGGTACCCTGACACTGTGATCGGGGGGGAGGGGGAACTCAGATTAAATCAGTCGCTCACGTCACGGCTGTTTGCTGGGACGTTGCTGTCCGCGTTTGGCTACAGCTCACAGTCACTACATTTTACAGAAAAGCTTTGTGATGCACTTTGAGACATTAAATCTCTGGGCTCTGTGCAGTTGGACGTTTGGGAGCGGGGTTGGGGGGTTGGAGGAGGGTTTGGGAGTTGGGGGCGGGGTTTGGGGCGGGGTTGGGTGGGGTTTGGGGGGCGGGGTTGGGGTTTGGGGGCGGGGTTTGGGGGTGGGCTGGGGGCGGGGTTTGAGGGGTTGGGGGCGGGGTTTGGGGTTTGGGGGCGGGGTTTGGGGGTTGGGGGCGGGGTTTGGGGGTTTGGGGGCGGGGTTTGGGGGGTTGGGGCGGGGTTTGGGGGGTTGGGGGCGGGGTCTATCCCTCCCTCCCTCTCTCTCTCTCTCTCTCACACGCTCACACTCTCACACACACTCTATTTCTCACACGCAGCCTGTCACGTACACACACACACACACCATCTCTCACGCTCTCGTCCTCTCTCACCCACTCGCTCTCATTGTGGAGTCCTGTAGCTCAGTGGTTAGAGCACTCGCTTTGCAAGTGAGAGACCTGAGTTCAATTCCCGGCAGAGGGCGAAACCTTTGGCAAGTTTCCTTACTCCACACAGAGCCTAATAATATTCCCTCCAAAAACACAAAACAATAATAAATTGGTCATTTTCAATCTACGACTGTTTGTGGGACATTGCTGTGCGCAATTGGCTGCCGCGTTCGCCCACAAATATACAGTCAATTCACTTTACAGTGTGTTCTGTGAAGCGCTTTGGGACGTCCTCCCGACGTGAAAAGCGCTATATCAAATGCAACGATTATTATTATTGTTATTATTATTATTATTATTGGGGGCGGGGTTTGGGGGGTTGGGGCGGGGTTTGGGGGGGTTGGGGGCGGGGTTTTGGGGGGTTGGGGCGGGGTTTGGGGGGTTTGGGGGCGGGGTTTGGGGGTTGGGGGGCGGGGGTTGGGGGCGGGGTTTGGGGGGGTTGGGGCGGGGTTTGGGGGGTTGGGGGCGGGGTTTGGGGGTTGGGGGCGGGGTTTGGGGGGTTGGGGGCGGGGTTTGGGGGTTGGGGCGGGGTTTGGGGGGGTTGGGGCGGGGTTTGGGGGTTGGGGGCGGGGTTGGGGGTTGGGGGCGGGGTTTGGGGGTTGGGGGCGGGGTTTGAGGGTTGGGGCGGGGTTTGGGGGTTGGGGGCGGGGTTTGGGGTTTGAGCTGATTTTATCGACAATAAAAAAATTCTGTTTAATGAATGTAATGTTAAACAGGAAATGACGAACCCTCGTGATCCCGACAACTTCCGGCACAGGTGAACCGGAAGTGGTTCCTGCAGGCGCGCAGACAGAAACAATAATAAGGCGGTAAGTCTGTGCCTGACCCCTCCACCCCCCCCACAGCCTGACCCCCCCCCCCACAGCCTGACCCCCCCCCCACAGCCTGCCCCCCCCCCCACAGCCTGACCCCACCCACACAGCCTGACCCCCCCCCCCCCCACAGCCTGACCCCCCCCCCCCCCACCCCCCACAGCCTGACCCCACCCACACACAGCCTGACCCCCCCCCCCACAGCCTGACCCCCCCCACACAGCCTGACCCCCCCCACACAGCCTGACCCCCCCCACACACAGCCTGACCCCCCCCCCACACAGCCTGACCCCCCCCCCCCACACAGCCTGACCCCCCCACACACAGCCTGACCCCCCCCACACAGCCTGACCCCCCCCCACACAGCCTGACCCCCCCCCACACAGCCTGACCCCCCCCCCACAGCCTGACCCCCCCCCCCACAGCCTGACCCCCCCCCCACACACAGCCTGACCCCCCCCCACACAGCCTGACCCCCCCCACACAGCCTGACCCCCCCCCACACACAGCCTGAACCCCCCCCAACACAGCCTGACCCCCCTCACACACAGCCTGACCCCCCCACACACACACAGCCTGACCCCCCCCCCACAGCCTGACCCCCCCCCCACAGCCTGACCCCACCCACACACAGCCTGACCCCCCCCCAACACACAGCCTGACCCCCACCACACAGCCTGACCCCCCCCACAGCCTGACCCCCCCCACACAGCCTGACCCCCCCCCCACACAGCCTGACCCCCCCCACAGCCTGACCCCCCCCACACACAGCCTGACCCTCCCCACACAGCCTGACCCCCCCCCACACAGCCTGACCCCCCCCCCACACAGCCTGACCCCCCCACACACAGCCTGACCCACCCCCCACATAGCCTGACCCCCCCCCCCCCCCCACACACACAGCCTGACCCCCCACCACACACAGCCTGACCACCCCCAAACACAGCCTGACACCCCCCACACACAGCCTGACCCCCCCCCACACAGCCTGACCCCCCTCCCACACACACAGCCTGACCCCCCTCCCACACACACAGCCTGACCCGCCCCACATACACAGCCTGACACCCCCCAGACACAGCCTGAACCCCCCCCCCCACACACAGCCTGAACCCCCTACCGACACAGCCTGATCGCCCCACACACACAGCCTGACACCCCCCACCCACACACACACTCACAGCTTGACACCCCCCCACACACACATAGCCTGACCTGATGATCTGGTGAGAGGATCTGGAGTGAATGTGGGGGTTTCTCACTCCTGAACGCTGGAAAACTGTTTTTTGTTAAAAAAATGTTTATTAGAGATTTGTTTTCACCCACAAAACACTTTACAGTGTATCCTGTGAAGCGCTTTTAGACGTCGCAACGACGTGATAAGGCGCTATATCAAATGCAAGGATTATTATTATCTCAATTACCCCCCCCCACCCCCACATGACGTGTGTTGCAGATCGAGGTTGTGGTGACAGATGGGGTTGATACGTCCGTAAAACCCGTCGCAAAGTGACCGGCGTGGTGTCCCCCCCCCCTGTCACAGAGGATGAGTAATTGTATTGGAGCCGGTCAGAATAGCTCTGTCCTGGAGGGAAGGTGTTTAGAGAAAGGTACGGATGGTGTGAGCTGGGTCTGTGGGTCTCAAGCTGGTGGGAGGGGAGGAGAAGGGGAGGAAATCCTTGATAGCTTCTCTGATGGGTAAAGACCCCATTGAGTATCAGATTGAGCTGTAAACTTGCCTTCCAAGCCCTCCACAGCCTTGCTCCTTCCTACCTCTGTGACCTGCTAACTCCATAACAACCTCCACCTGCTCCATGTTCCCTGCCCGGCCCAGCCCACCAGCGGCGGTCGGTTCTTCAGCCTCTCTGCCCCCACTGCCCCACCCTTTGGAACTCCATCCCACAGTCCCTTCGACTCGCTCCATCAAGACCCGTCTCAAGACTCTCCTCTTCTACCGCGCCTTTGGTTACCCTCCTAACCCCATCCTCCAACTGCTCCTGATCCCAACCCCCAGCTCGGATCCAAATCCCTGACTATCCAGCGCTTTGGGATGTCCTCCCAACGTGAAAGGCGCTGTGTAAATTTTGTTTGTTGTTGTTGTAACTCATAGGTTCACATTGTGATCTGTGCTTGTGATTAGCTTGTTTGCACACGTCCTCTCCAAAGGCAGGATTCTTTTAGATGTGCTGCTCTCGATAGATCGAGGAGACTCCATGAGTACAACACCTTGTAGTTCTGAGCCAATGGTCAGCCCATCAACAGCAAGCTGTGTTTCATCCTCGGCCTTCCGTTAGATCACAAATCAAAAGCCCTAACGGGGAGGGTGGTTCTAGTTGGACAAGCAATGGGAAAGCTGGCCAGACAGCGATATCAGTGGCAAGCTATGCGTTTTTAGCTGGTTAGATTCCAGCAGTTACCCCAACGCACACTCTGGGCTCCCCCCCAAGCCTTGGCTCTTCCAACCTGTGCCTAATATTCTCCGGAATTAGATAAGCAGGATACATCCCTCCAGGGAGAGAGAGAGAGAGAGAGAAAGAGCGCATTCCATTCCAACTCTCTAGGCAGATGAAATTTAATGTGAAGAAATGCAAGGTGATGCATTTTGGAAGGAAGAATGAGGAGAGGCAATATAAACTGATGGTAGAATTTTAAAGGAGGTGAAGGAACAGAGAGGCCTGGGGGGTCATATAAGTAAATCTTTGAAGATGGCAGAACAAGTAGATAAAGCTGTTAAAGAAAGCATACGGGATACTAGGCTTTATAAATAGGGGCAAAGAATACACAAGTCAGGAAGTTATAATGAACCTTTATATAAAACAGTGGTTAGGCCTCAGCGAGAGACTGTGTTCAGTTCTGGGCCCCACACTTTAGGAAGGATGTCAAGGCATTGGAGAGGGTACAAAGGAGATTTTCCAAGATGGTACCAGGAATGAGGGACTTCAGTGATCAGGAGAGGCAGAGAAGCGAGGATTATCCTCCTTGGAGCAGAGAAGGTTAAGAGGAGAATTAATAGAAGTTTTCAAAATGATGAGGGTCGGTAAGGACACTGATTCAAAATAGTTGTTAAAAGAAACGGGAGGTGAGGAGAAATGTTTTCACACAGCGAGTTGTTGGGATCTGGAATGCGTTGCCTGAAAGCCTGGTGGAAGCTGATTCGATAACAACTTCTAAGAGAGAAGTTGATAATTATTTGGGGAGGACACGTTTGCAGGGTTATGGGGAGAGAGTGGGGGAGTGGGGTTGGTCAGGGCTATGGGGAGAGAGTGGGGTTGATCAGGGCTATGGGGAGAGAGTGGGGGGAGTGGGGTTGATCAGTGCTATGGGGAGAGAGCGGGGGGCGGGGTTGCTTGATTTGGAAGCTCTTTTTAAAGAGCAGCAGACACGATGGGCCGAATGGCTTCCTGTGCTAAGTGATTCTATCTCTGGGATGTCCACGTGTTAGTGGGATGTGGGGAACTCTCAGTTTGGTTTGGAGACTCTTAAGCAACAGTGACGGGTTTCCGCACGTGTCAGACAGTGTGGACGCAGAGAAGGCGAAGTGTTGCCGAGTAACAAGCCAGGGTATCGGGGGCTCCTGGTCGGGCAATAGAATCTGTCTTTAATCAAAAAAATGGCCACCTTATTCTTCTCCCTGTTTATAGCTGAACAGCCGTGTGGCCTGGGCACTCCTGAGGCCGGGCTGATGTCGACGGGAGGCGTGGGGAGGTCTGACGATGAGCAGGTGGCCCCGGGACAGAAACGCAGCGCGGCTCAAGCCTTCAGCCTGATCCCCAAGCGCAGGAGCTCGTCCAGGTAACCAGTGGGGGCTAGGGGGTGTGTGTGTTGTGGGGGGTGGGGGGGCGGAATTTGGTGCAGGGGTGGGTACTTGGTGTGTGTATGTGTGGGGGGGGTGCTTGGTGTGTGTGTGGAGGGCTTGGTGTGTGTATGGGGCTTGGGGTGTGTNGGGGTGGGGGTTTCTGGCTCTGTCGTGCTCAGGCTCATCAGACACCTTTGGGAAGCTGATCGGGGTTGAGCCAGGCTATTTTGAACAACAAGAACAACTTGCACTTATATAGCGCCCTCCACGCAGGGCAGCATCTCAGAGCGTTTAACAGTGGAGGAGCCTGACTCTGAGCCGGAGATGGGAGTGAGGTGGCCGTAATCACGGTCGAAGACGGTTTTCAGGCTGGACTTGAAAAAGGAGAGAGAAAGGGCGCGAGGCGGAGGGATTGAGGGAGAGTGTTCCACAGTTTCAGGGCGTAGTGGCTGAAAGCGTGACCTCCGATGGTGGGGCGGAGGGCGCGAGGAACGAGCAGGAGCCGGGGGCCAGTCAAGCGGAGGCCCCGGGTGGTGTATTGGGGAGTGAGGAGGTCGGAGAGGGAGGGGTCAGAGAGTGAGGGGATTTGAACATGAGAGTGAGAGGATCTTGAAGTGGATGTGTTGGCTGATGGGGAGCCAGGGGAGTCAGGGCCAGAGCTGGGGAGATGTGGGTGTGGAGTTTGTTGGGGTCAGTATGTGGGCGGCAGAGTCTGAATGAGCTGATCTTGTGAATGGTGGAGCTGGGCAGACCGGCGAGGAGGGGGTTGGAGTTCCCTTCATGTTCCCAACCTCCAGCTCAGGTCCAAATCCCTGACTGTCCAGCGCCTTGGGATGTCCTCCCGATGTGAAAGGTGCCGTGTAAATGTAACGTTGCGTTGTTGTTGTTGTTGCTGCAGGTCCATCAAGAGGAAGAAGTTTGACGATGAGCTGGTGGAGAGCAGCCTGGCCAAGTCCTCCACCAGGGCCAAGGGCCCAGCGCTCCCCGAGCCCGGCCGGTACTCTGGCAGCGAGGCCTCCTCCAACGAGAAGAAGAAAGTAATAATAATCCTTGCCTTTTGATACAGCGCTTTATCACGTGGTTGGGTCGTCTCAAAGCGCTTCACAGAAAATACTGTAAAGTGTAGTGACTGTGTATTTTGTGGGTGAAACGCGGCAGCCAATTGCGCTTCACAGAAAATACTGTAAAGTGTAGTGACTGTATTTTGTGGGTGAAACGCGGCAGCCAATTGTGCACAGCAGTGTCTCACACACATTCCGTGTCAGAGTCACTCCAGGTGCGAGAATGAAGGAAGGAACTGATCAGGTGCTGGACTGAACGCCTTCATTCAGATTCTAATACCAACAGTGTATAGTTTGGAACATTCGCAAGCCTCCTGCTTGTCCCTCGTGCCCTCCCCCCCACCACCACTTTCAGCTACTACACCCTGAAACTCTGGAAAATCTTCCCTTTATCCCTCTGCCTTGCTCCCTTCCTTCCCCATCTTCAGATTGTGTTTCAAGACCTTCCTCACCGACCGTGTCTACGGTCACCTCCCCCCCACCTCCACACACCCCCCCGCCTTGACATCGTGCTCTGCCACTGTCATGCGCTCTGGGACGCTGCCCTGGGTGATGGGCGCTGTGAGTAACCGCAGGTTGTTATGATTGTGTCTCTGTCAGATCTCCAAGGCGGTCTCCCTGCCCACGGCCCCCAGCAACATGGCCAAGAGAATGAAGAAAAGCAAACAGCCTCCACAGGTCACCAAGGACCTCGGGCGCTGGAAACCCACAGACGACTTACTGTTAATAAACACTGTCTTACAGGTGAGGCGAGAGTTAATAAACACAATGTCTACTGACTGACAAGGGAAGGGTTAACACGCCAACGGGAAGCATTTAATTCAGTCCAGAACCGTATGGAGCAGAAGTGAAGGACGAGGACGTTTGTTTATAGCGACCTGTGTGTGGGTGAGCGTCTCGGAGGCAGTTAAAGACCAAAGCAAGCAGCACCCACACCACCACCCCCACCCTCCCTCCCCTCTGGGTCGCACAGGGCTGTGCTGACACACATTCTCACCACTGGGGGCAGCTGCGAGCGGGGGTTGGGGGTGGAGTGACCTAAGGCACAGTCAAAGTGGTGGGTGTCGAGGTGTGATTTACAGAGAGATAGAGGGTGGGTGTAAGGTTGGGGGGGTTGAGGCTGGGAGTTGCAGAACGTCTGATAATCCTCACGTGTGATGTGGAGAATCAAAGAGCTCCTTCCTGGGGAATCCCAGTCGCTGCTGGTTTGTGAAGCCCTGACTGTCCAGCTCCTCGGGACGTCCTCCTGATGTGAAAGGCGCTGTGTAAGCGTAATGTGGTGGTGTGAGGCCTCTCTCTGTATTACAGACCAACGAGCTGACGGCAGTTCACCTCGGGGTGAAGTTCAGTTGCCGCTTCACACTGCGGGAGATCCAGGAGCGCTGGTACGCACTGCTGTACGACCCCGTCATCTCCAAGTGAGTCCCCGACCAACCGCCCGCCCGGACTGGACTTTAACCTGTGCCGCGAGATGTCAAGAGAGTAAAACGCAGCGGATTCAGGATACTGCCGCGTAACAACAACAGCTTCCATTCACACAGCGCAGAGTAGTGCCTGAGCACTGTACAGCGTGTGTGTGGGAGGGGGGTATACTGAGCGAGGGGGGGAGAGGTGACCATAGGCCCAGTCAAAGTGGTGGGTCTTAAATAGGGACTTAACAACAACTTGGACTTATACAGTGCCCCTCACCAGGCTGGCGTCCCACAGCGCTTAATGTTTAAGGACAGATGGAGAGGGGGTGAGGGGTTTGAGGTCGGGGGTCTCAGAGGTTAGAGAGGCTGATAATTCTCGCCTGTGATCCAGCGAATCAGGCAGTTGGTGTGAGACGGGTGTAGTGTTTATTGTGTGTGGTGGGTGTAGTGACTGTGTTGTGTGCTGACTCTGGCTGCTCCCTCTCTCTCCCCGCAGGCTGGCCTGTCAGGCCATGAGGCAGCTGCACCCGGAAGCCATCACAGCCATCCAGGCCAAGGCTCTGTACAGCAAGGCTGAGGAGCAGCAGCTCGGCAAGATAGGATCGGTAATCTCTCGCCCTCTCGCCCTGGGACTAGTTGGGGTAAGAGTGGGGGAGTGGGACTAGTTGGTGGCTCTTTCAAAGAGCCGGCACAGGTACGATGGACCGAATAGCCTCCTTTTGTGCTGTGTGATCTCTTCAGGGTGGGAAGGGGGGCTTCTGACACACTCTGGTTTACTTGTGGTTATATGATGTGTGTGAGTGTATTTTGTTTGCCTTTCAGACCAGTCAGCCCACCCTGGAGACCTTTCAGGAGCTGTTGAACAAACACCCCCATGTTTTCTACCCATCCCGGACTGGCAAGTCCCTGCAGCTACATTGGCAGCTGATGAAACAATATTACCTGCTCGACGATCAAACAGGTAACAGCACAAGTGACAATAACACTGTGTGGAGAGATGTAGTAATATAGGAGCAGGAGGAGGCCATTCAGCTCTTCGAGCCTGTTCCGCAATTCTATTAGATCACGGCTGATCTGTACCTCAACTCCCAATACCTGCTCGCTGTGCCCTTTATACCTTTACACCTCACCCAAACCTCTGGCTCCCCTCTCTCCGTCTCAAACCCCTCTCTGCCCATCTTCAAATCGCACCTGAAGCCTTTCTTCTTCGACGGTTCCTCCCCCTCTCTCCTTGGCTCGACGTCAGGCTCCGCCATTGTTAATCGCTCCAAGACACTGTGTAAATGGAAATGATTTACTTGAACAGTCGCTTTTCTCTCCTTCCCTTGCTGCCTTCTAGGCACGTTTCAAGAACCCCCTCCCCCCACCTCAACCCCTCCTACCCCACCCTCCTTGCTCTCCACCCCCTCCTGATCCCAACCCCTGATGTCCAGCGCCTTGGGACGTCCTCCCGAGGTGAAAGGCATTTTTTGTTGAGACGTCTCAAAGCGCTTCACCGAATGTATTGTAAGGTGAATTGACTGTATTTTGTGGGTGTATTTGTAGCGCTCTCGCCTCGGGGCTGGAAGATTGTGGGGTTCAGGTCAGTCGAGGGGACGTGAGCTCAGTCTAGGCTGAGGCTCCAAACCACATTACTCTCACCGGGCTGTGAGCAATCCCAGGGGTTCCACTCGCTCAGTCCTGCTGGGTGTGTCTGTGCCTGATCACGTGGGATACTTACTCCTAAGATCACTTTCTCTTTAGATTCCAATAATAACGTGACCCCCCCCCTCCGCTGTCTTTCAGTGCAACCTTTACCGAAAGGAGATCAAATCCTGAACTTCTCAGACGCCGAAGACATGATCGACGACAGTAAACTCAAGTAAGACGGGAATTCTTTGCAAAACGTCGCTTGGAATTCTCAGTGTGGTTTGGGGGTTCCTAGGCACGGGGATGGGCTTCCGCATGTGTCAGACACCCGGCCGATCAAAACACACACGGTTACATAAAGAAACTTCCACTTATAAAGCATCTCTCACATAGCAAGGTGTCTCCACAGTGCTTCACAGAGTGGGAGTGTGAGCAGGGGGTGCAAGGGAGGTTTTATAAGCAGAGGGTTAGACTCCAGGTGAAGGACTTTAATGGGAGCCCCAGGGAGCGGGGCCAAAGCTTCCCCACCAATAGCTAGAGCGGAGGGAATGGGTCACGGTGGGGCAACAATGTAAAGGGGTTTGGAAGGTAAAACAAGGATGTTAAAGTCTATGTGCTGTGTGTATAGGTGGCAGCTACACACATGTAATATGTATGTAACACAGTCTGTCTATTCCTTTCACAGAGAAGCGAGAGATGATTTCTTAGAACAGGGTAAGTCCTGCTTTAAGGCCCTCCACCGTCTTGCTCCCCTCTACCTCTCCCACCTCTTAACCCCATATCAGCCTGTCTGCTCCCTCTGCTCCGGACACCGGCTGCCTCAGGTCCCCTGCATTTCCAGCCCCACCATTGGCGGTTGGGCATTCAGCATCTCTGCCCCCACACTCTGGAACTCTATCCCACAATCCCTCCCCCTCACCCCCTCTCTTGCTTCCGTCAACTCCCGTCTGACGACCTTAATCTTCGGCCGTGCCTTCAGCCACCCTCCCACCGCCAACCCCCTGCGCTCCTCCCCTCCTGACCTCAACTCCCAGCTCGGATCCAAAACCCCTGATTGTCCAGGGCCCTGGGACGCCTTTCCGATATGAAGGTGCTACACAAGTGTAATTTGCTGCTGTCATTCCTGTGACCTGGTTATAATTGTAAGTGCTGAAACCTATTGGTGCTAATTGAATACTGAGGGGAGATCCTCTATCTCACAATGTCGTGGCTTGAGTTACTTTTAAGTATCGCAACTTATTTACGCAGATTTAAGGCGATGGCTGATTTGACTAGGATCGTCCCAAAGACAGAGTGTTAAAATACCCACTGGTCAGGGTCTCTGGTCTGGTAGTGACATTTTTGCAAACGTGAAGATGTAATTAAATTATTGTTGTTATTTTTTAGAGGGATTATTACCCATGGAAAGCAATCCGCCAACCTCTATATATGTAATATAATAATCCTTGCATTTGATATAGCGCCTTATGTCTTCGAAAGTCTCAAAGCGCTTCAGAGAATGTCCTATAAAGTGCAGTGACTGTGTATTTTGTGCAAGTTGTTTTTGTTGTTGTTGTGGCCCCAGAGCTAACCCTTGCAGACCGGAGGCAGAAACGTGAGATCCGGCAGCTGGAGCAGGAGCTACCCAAGTGGCAGGTGCTGGTGGACAGTGTGACAGGTAACACAGCGACTGTCTCTGACACACCTCAAACCCAAGAGACATCTGATTGTTTCCATCCAAAATAACAAGGTCACCGCATGTGAGAGAGTCTGTGCCATTACCATTTGCCGTCCGCTTCCTCCTCTCAGCAGGCTCCTGGCCTGCTCCACGTCCCCCACCCAGCTCGCCCCACCATCGACGGTCGGGCCTTCAACCTCTCTGCCCCCACCCTCTGGAACTCCATCCCTCAGTGCCTTCGCCTCCTTCAAGGCATGTCTCAAAACATCAAGACCTCCTCTTCGACCGCGCCTTAGACCGTTTTACAGCCACCCTCCCTAACCTACACCCCTCCTGATCCTAACCCTCTGCTCGAGTGCAAATTCCTGACTGTCCAGCGCCTTGGGACGTTGTCCTGACGTGAAAGACACTGTGTAAAACGAGAGATCTGACTGTTTCTATCAAAAATAACAAGGTCACTTTATGCAAGATAGTTTGTGCCATTAGCATCCCGTGTGACATAGCATCTTTCGTGTCTGGCAGGCTGTGTGTGGGGGGGGAGTGGGTTATTATCAATACTAATTCAATCAATAAAAAGAAGGCTGTGGATTATGGCTGGATCCAGGCACGTTGTCCAGACTGAGTTGGAGAGATATTTGTCAGGTCAGGGTATCAGGGGATATGGGGCAAAGGCGGGTAATTGGAGTTGAGCTACAGATCAGCTGTGATCTTATAGAATGGTGGAACAGGCTCAAGGGGCTGAATGGCCTCCTGTTTCTATGTTTCTAAGATACAGGAAAGAAAACAAATGATCTCTCGAAACATTCATCACACAGTTAACTAACATTAACGACTGGACTCGATCGGGGTAAAAATTTTGTATGTAGAAAAGGTGCCGGAGAGAATGTTTGTGTGGAATCGCTGCTGTTTCACTGACTTTTTACATCTTGTACGTGTTGAACCCAGGCATCAGCTCCCCCGACTTCGACAACCAGACCCTGGCCGTGTTACGGGGCCGGATGGTGAGGTACCTGATGAGATCTCGAGAGGTGAGGAAGGGTTTCAGAAACCTTCATTACTTTCACGTCTAAAGATTTTTTTTGGCGGGGGAGCTAGAAACACTGACTTTCCTACAAAAACTGGGGAGACCTGTAGCTCAGTGGTTGGAGGACTCGCCTCACAAACGAGAGGACCCAGGTTTGATCCCAGGCAGGACGAAACACTGGGCAAGTTTCCTTACTCCACACACACGCCTGTTTACCTAGACGTAAGTAGGAACCCGGTTGTCAGTCAATTGATAGTAATAATCCCTCCACAAAACAAAAAAAAGTCACTCAATCCACAACTGTTTGTGGGACGCTGCTGTGCACAATTGGCTGCTGCGTTTTGCCCACGATATACACAGTCACTACACTTTACAGTATATTCTATGAAGCGCTTTGAGACGTCACAAAGTCGGAATAAGGCGCTATATCAAATGTTAAGGATTATTACTTTTACAAACCGTTGTTACTTACCTAAGATTTTTTGGGGGGGCAGGGAAGAACATTGACTTTCTTACCAAAACTGTCTTTCTATTCCCTCTTCCTCTCCCCACACACAAACCCCCAGATTACCCTGGGGAGAGCAACGAAGGATAATCAAATTGATGTGGATCTCTCGCTGGAGGGACCCGCATGGAAAATCTCCAGAAGACAAGGTGGGAGAAGCGACGGCTTTTTAACTTGCAGCCCCCGTGCTTGCCAGCGCCGTCACACAGAGTAATATTGGAGCGTTTTACAGTGGGGGGGGAACACGGGTGCTGGGGGTGCGGTGGGGGAGGTGACCATAGGCACAGTCAACAAGGTTTTAACAGCAACAAATGACATTTACATGGCAGCTTTCACGTCGGGAGGACATCCCAGGGCGCTGCACAGTCAGGGATTTGGACCCGAGCTGGGGGTTGGGATCAGTGACTGACGGCACGGTCGAAGAGGAGGGTCTTGAAGGAAGCGAGGGAGGGAGGGGGTGAGGTGAAAGAACTGCAGGATGGAGTTCCAAATGTTGGCAGAGAGGCAGGACTTGAAGACAGATGGTTGGGGGGGGCAGGAGGGAGAGGTGGAATGATGGAGGGGGAGCGGGCGGTGGGGTGGGGGGGTCAGTGCCTCAGTGCTGTGGCTGACGTTGTGCGTTTGAAGGTGTCATCAAACTGAAAAACAACGGAGATTTCTTCATCGCTAACGAGGGCCGGCGACCGCTGTACATTGATGGGCGGCCGGTGCTCAGCGGCAACAAGTGGAAACTGAACAGTAACTCGGTGGTGGAGGTGAGTGTTTGTCACGTCAACCTCTGGGCAGGGGCCTGGGGCCTGGGGGCAGGGGCCTGGGGGCAGGGGCCTGGGGGCAGGGGCCTGGGGCAGGGGCCTGGAGGCAGGGGCCTGGGGCCTGGTGGAGAAGGAGTGAGGGAGGTGGCAGATGGAAGGTGGGGGTAGGGCGAAGGGGAGGGGGAGGGTATCCAGGGTATGGTTTCAGAGTGGGACCAGTCTGGCTGAACGCTTACCTGTGCAGACTCGTGTCACTGAAGGGCTGGGTGAATGGAGAGATATTCCCCGATTTGATTTGAACGTGAGGGGAGGAGGCTGCTGGTGGTTATGTTGAATGTTGCTCGATACACGTCCCTTTCCGTACCTCACAGAGAGTGAGATCCTCCCTTTTCCTCCCTCCGCAGATCGCTGGCCTTCGCTTTGTGTTCCTGATCAACCAGGACCTGATCACCCTGATCAGAGCCGAAGCCGCCAAGATGACCCAGCAGTGAAGACAGCGACAACCACGTCTGAGACGGGAAGCGAGATCTCCTGGCCTGGCCTCGCTGCCTCGGGATTACTGTGTCAGTGACACAACCTATTTGTGTGTCAGGGACGTTTAGTTGTTCAGTTTGAGCTGTGAGGATATCTGGCTGGACACGGCTACTGTACACTTGGTGTGCGTTTGTGTGGAGCGGCTGATTGAACAAGGTGCCGAGAGAGAGAGAGAGAGTGACATTCAAATGGAGTCCTGTAATGTGTTGGTTATAATCCCTTCCCCCCAAAAAATTATTTGGTCACTCAATCCACGACTGTTGGCGGGACACTGCTGTGTGCAATTGGCTGCCGTGTTTCGCCTTTAAAATACAGTCACTACACTTTACAGTATACTCTGTGAAGCGCTTTGAGACGTCTCGACGACGTGATCAGGCGCTGTATCAAATGCAAGGATTATTATTGTTTTCAGACTGAGCAAAGTGAGTGAGGGTCATGGCTGTAGATCAGTGGGGGTCAAACACATTTTTCTTGATTATGGCCACACCATCAATATCCGCTATTCAGTTGGAAAGAAACTTGATTTAATAGACTGACCTGGACAAGGGCGAAGTCAGCAGGACAAAATGGCCATTGCCCATCAGAAACGTCACTGAGCTGTGTTGATGTACTTCCTCTGTTGTGTTAACCCCCTCCCCCCAGGACCATCGATGCTGATACAATAGTTTAGAGCAATGTCCAGAACCGAGAATATTTCTTATTTTGCAATCAAATCTGATTTCAAGTCAAATAAACTGGATTCTTTGTTAGGCTTTAAACTACTTTCCAAAGTTTTACTTTTTAAAAAAAAAAGTTCCTCAAACTGTGGAACGTGACGAGATGTTATTTTTAGAAGAATTGAGTAAGGTTTCTGAGGGACGGGGTAAAATAATAATTTGGTCGCTCAGTCCACTGAGGGACACTACTGTGCGCAATTGGCTGCCGCGTTTCACCCACAAAACAATTTATTTCACATTATATTCTGTGCAGCGCTTTGAGATGTCTCGAAGATGTGATATCAAACGTAAGTGATTATTATAAGGATCACAGTGTGAACCAGGCGATGCTTAGTTGCTCACTGTGTGCAGAGGAAGAAAGAAAAAGCTGTGTCTGGCAAGTTTGGAATACTGCTTTTTTTTATTTTATCAACTACATTTTTAAATACATCACGTGTGAGGAGGAGAGCCTTGGACTGATCAGAAAGAGCGGCGTTTCCTACACACCACCAGCCCACCCTGAGCTGGATTCCGCTGCTTTGTCACCCAAGAGACTATTGGTGGTGGGAGGTCTCACCAATCTTCTCCTGAAGATGTTTGACTCCTTTTCCTTCCTATTTATGTACGAGCCATTCACTAGTGACCTCACCCAGCGGCTGAGCGTGGGCAGGTTAGATCTGTCTAGAGCGAGGGGGGGGGGGGTGGAAGAGAACACAACCCCAGCCTGTGCTCACCAACCTCCCAACAGCCATCACTAGTTGGTGCTCAGGAACATGCATCTGCACTCACTGTTGGGTTCTCGGTCTCGTGGGCTGAGGTGACTGATGGTCTTTATGCCTCGGGCCTCCTCACTCCCTCACTAAACCACCCAATGGCGCTCCTAAAGTGAGTCAACATCTCGGGTCCACGACCCTTCTATCAATGAGTCCTTCTGGACTCTCTCCTCTGCTGCCTGACCTGCTGAGTGTTCCCGGCGACTTCGGTTTTTGTTTCAGATTTCCAGCATCTGTAGTATTTGGCGTTCTGTTTGAACTTCACTTTAAATCCTGGCTGAACCCCCCCTCCCCCCCCAGCCAAGCTTCTACAGTGAACTTACCAGCAATACTCTCTTCCCCCCATCGGTCTCAACACTGGCCACCCTTAACGCGATGGCTTGACACAATAAATGCATCGACTTACTGGCATTGGGCGCAGCAACTGGGTTTGAGAAGGGGCAGATTTTAGCTGCTCAGTGGACACGGGCTGAGCTGAGGGTGGGAGATAGAAATTGGACAATGAGGTCCTAACACATGGCTTGGGACACACCCCTCCACTCCAGGTTTCTAGCATCAACTCAACAAAGAGATGTAAACAAATTGCAACACGTTTAGTCTCAATGAAAGTAAAACGCACGAGGACAAGACACCGTGCGATGTTCAATCTGCTTCGATTCAAGACTCTTGTGGTTTTTTTCCTATGTATATTTCTGTAGAAAAAGAGTCAAACTACTTCACAGGGAAGATTCTAATGAGCAGCAGATTCTGAGGCAGGAGATCTGGGAGACTTGCAACAGGAACCAGCGGCTGGAGTCACGATTGGCTAATGAGCGTGACTGAGGTGGGTGGGGTGGGGTGGGCGAGGATGAGGTGGGAGGTGGGCGGAGGATCAGGGTAAGGAAGCTGGCAGCAATTCAGTGTGTTTCTTCCCCCATTGGCATGCGGTCTCCAGCACATCAAATAACACACAATCTGAACAGGCCACTGTCTTCCATTAAAACAGCTCGATTTCAAATACATACCCATTATCAGTGAAGAATAATTTGTACGTGTGTGAGATTGTGTGAGACTGTGTGTAAGTGTGTGACTGTGTGTAAGTGTAAGTGTGCTTGCCCTGGTGGGATTAAAGGTTGATCTCTAGTACAATCGTCTTTTTAAGGTCTTTGGTCCTTTTTGTTTCACGTTTATATAAAGTATAGCGGGAGGGGAGGGGGAAAGAGAGAGTGAGAGAGAGAAGTGACAATGACTGACACAAGGCACTTTCATTCCGAACGGTTTGGAGATGCATAGTGAATTCTGGAATTTGGGGGAAAAAAATAACAGAAAAGAAAGGCAGCGAGCAAACTCTCCTGTGAACCACGACACACCAGCGAGAATGGGTTTATATAGATTTGAAAAAAATGCCTAAAGTCTAAGCCGGATTGTCGCTGTGTCCTCCCGAAGGGCGTTGACAATGTACAGAGGCTGATAGTCAAAATGTGTGAACACAGAAACCTTGAGGGTGGGGGGAAGGGGGGGGAGGAAAGACAGAGACTATAATAGAAGAAGCTAAAGTGTCACAGACTCAGTAAATGTAAACTCAATGGTTTTTGTGTGTGTTTTATCACATCTAACGGGTCGGGGGAGGGGGCTGTTGCTCCTCACAGGGAGGGAGGGGGGCATCAGAAGCTCTCAGGAGTCCGTGGTGGCTTCATTTGCGCTTGACCTTGGCCTACGTTGGGGGAGGGCGTTGGGGGGGGCGATCAGGGCCTGCTTGGGGGCGAGCTGGGCTAAGGGGGGCTGCTTGGCGGCGGGGGTGCCGTTGGGAGTGGCAGAGTGTGTCTGGCTCTTGTCTGCGGGGAGGGGCTGCGGTTGGGGCCGGAGCTGGGGTGGGGGTTGGGGCCGGGGGGGGCCGCTAGGGCGAGCGCTGGAGTAGTAGTTCCGGGCTCCGTTGCGGGGGCGGTTTCTATCCTCGTTCCTCCCATGGCTCGGGTTCAGCCTGTTGGGCTGAGGCCGGTAACCTGACCTCCTGTTCCCCTGAGGCATCTGGTGACAATGGAGAGAAAACACAATAAACAGATGACCTCAACTTTACTGAACTCCACCTCCAAGAGACCACCTCACCTGAAGGCCACACCCCAGAGATATGATATACGATGCGTACATAGAAACAGGAGGAGGCATTCATCCCCTTGAGCCTGTTCTGCCATTCAATTAGATCGCGGCTGATCTGTAGTTCAACTCAAATGACCCGCCTTTGCCCTCGTATCGTATCCCTCGATGCCCTGACCTACCAAACGTCTAACCACCTCCATCTTCAAAATACATATACAGATATATACTATATCTATGCGCAAGCAATTGGCTACCACGTTTGGTCCATCAGATACACAGTCACTACACTTCACAGTATATTCTGTGAAGCGCTTTGAGACATCTCAACGGCTTGGTAAGGCTCTGTATCAAATGTAAGGGTTATTATTTTATTCTTAAAACCACTGAAGCGCTGGGGGCTTAGTGACCTAATGTTTTTACAATGAGTTTGGACGAGGGAGGAAACTGGCCGATCACAGGGAGAATTCCTGCTCCGTTAGGAAGTGGCATCAATGGGATTCCCAACATCCACCTGAGCCAACAGAATAGGGACCTGGTTTAAATGCCTCATTCCAACAACAGGGGGTACCGTCTGTCTTCACAGCTCTCCCTCAGTCCCTTACTGGACAGTCACGCTGGGGCCCAGTAAACTACTGGGGTATTGGGGGAGGGCTGGGAGGATAGGTAAATGGGACTGAAAAGATTGCTCCCTAAAGAACCAGTACAGACATACTGGGCCGAACCCTTTTCGTTGTGCTGTAAATGTTTCTGGTTGTAAGTGCTGACATGGGGCTTGGACATATACGAGGGTTGGATGGAGTGATACAGCAGAGATAGGCCAACTGGCCTGGACTGGTGTTTATACTCCACACGAGCTTCCGACACTCCTATTCCCCTCACCCTCACCCTCGATTCTCTTCTTCATGTGACCTACAGCTTACTGACTCAGAGAGGCAAGAGAGAGGTGTGTACGCCTGTTGATTTATCCATCCAATTTCCCACTAGATTGCTTCCACGGATTTCTCAGTATATCTAATGGTTTACATTAATGGCCCGAGCACAACATAAAAATAAACACCTATTTACCTAGTAGGAAGTAGGACCTGGCTGTTAGCTAATTAGCAGATCGCTTTGAGACGTCTCGAAGACGTGATAAGGCGCTGTATCAAATGCAAGGATTATTATAATTTTATTTTCCCACAAGATTCCTTCCATGGATCTCTCAGTAAATCTAAAAGTTCCCATTAGTGGCCCGAACACAACACAAAGGCAAGAGAGAGGTGGGATATTTGGTACCGGACGGTTTGATGGAAATGGGCGGGCGGCGGAGTTGGCTGAGGCAGTGGAGGGCTCCCCCGAAGATGAAACCTTCTTCCCCGATCTGGTCAGGTTAGGATTTGAGGTGCAGTCGGGGGTCGAAGGGGCTGAGATGTCGCTGCGGCTGGTGACAGACATGGAGGACACGGAGCTACACCGAGACCGAGCAGAGTAGTTGTTCCTGGGATGTGACACTGCAGAGAGAGAGAGAGAGAGCAGAGGGAGAAACACAGGGACTCAGGGTTAGGGCTTCTGACACACTGACAGTACGTACACCCTTTGGAATTCCATCCCACAAAGTCACTGAACACAGGCACTGACCAGAACACATCCACAGGCTAGGCTCGTCAGTCACTCAAATGCCTGAGAGAAGTATATAAAATAAAATAGCGCGGCTCACTTCATTCATGGCTGTCTGTGGGGGAGGAACATCAATCACTGTGTGCAGACTGGCTGCCCATGACACCCAGTGAAATCCTAAAGGCTTTGGGATCCCCCTGCCATGAAGGGCGCTGCGTAAATGTAAATTATTGTTGTGTCACAATCACAACGGTTCTGACACTCTCCATGTTCTCGGAACGAAGACTATTTCAGCTAGTGCGGAACTCTGGGGAAAACTGTCTTAAATTCAGTCCCAATTTTCTGTGAACATGAAATTGGCTCCGACATCAAGACTTCAGACATTTCCCGAAACTCCCTCCCCACCCACGTTAAATTTAAAGACCACGAAAGGTCTTAAGGCTGAGAGTGTGGGGAACCGAGTGCCCGGCTGGGGTGAGAGGAACACAGCACAGCAGCCCTTACCCTGTCCGAATGCCTGGATACTCGCTTTGAGTTCTTCCACATCACATGTGAACTGTGCACTACGTCCTAGGTCCTCATCGTATTTGCGTTCACTAACAAAATGCTAGATCAGGGGAGAAACACAGAGACTCAGGGTTAGGGCTTATGACACACTGACAGTATATACACCCTTTGGAACATCATCCCACAGTCTCTTCGCCTTGCCCCCTACCTCGCCTCCCTCAAGACCTTCACTTCGACTGTGCCTTCGATCACCCTCCTACCCCAACCCTCCCTGCCCTTCACCCCCCTGATCCCAACCCCCAGTTCAGGTCCAAATCCCTGACTGTCCAGCGACTTGGGACGTCCTCCCGACTTGAAAACCGCAGTGTAAATGTCATGTGTTGTTATTGTACTTCAGATTTGGAGCTGCAGTTGGCAGGAGAGGGAACATTCTCAAGGTTTTAGCATTAAGGGTTCCAGTAAGATGGACTGTTGGTGACGGAATCTTTCAGCCTCAATGATGGTTTTGAGGCAAGTATTAAATGTTGCCAGTTTATGTTCGCTAAACCAGGCTTTGAGAAGTCTTTAAGGAGGCGTTTTAACCCAGGTATGGAAGTGGTAGCTTCTGTCGTAGAATCTTACAGCAAAGAAGGAGGCCATTTGGCCCATCGTGCCTGTGCCGGCTCTTTGAAAGAGCTATCAACTAGTCCCACTCCCCCGCTCTTATCCCAAAGCCTTGCACATTTTTCCTTTGAAGTATTTATCTAATTCCCCTTTGAAAGCTATTATCGAATCTGCTTCCATCATCCTTTCAGGCAGTGAATTCCAGACCATAACAACTCTGGATTAAAAAAAATTCTCCTCATCTCCCCTTTTGTTCTTTTGCCAATTATTTTAAATCTGTTTCCTTTGGTTACAACAACAACAAAATTACATGTGTAAAGCGCCTTTCAAGTCAGGAGGACATCCCAAGGCGCTGAACAGATAAGAGTTATGGACCCGAGCTGGGCGTCAGGGAGGGTGGAGGGCGGGGTGGGGGGGGAAAGCAGGGTGATCGAAAGCACAGTCGAAGAGGAGGGTCTTGAGATGGGGCTTGAAAGAGGCAAGGGAAGGGGTGAGGCAGAGGGACTGCGGGATGAAGTTCCAGAGGTTAGGGACAAAGTGATAGAAGGCACAGCTGGTGGGGCGGGCGAGGCCGGAGATGTGAAGCAGGCCAGAGCCTGTTGAGCGGAGGGAGCGAGCAGGATGGTAGGGGGTTAGGAGGTTGCAGAAGTAGGGGGGAGCGAGGCCATAGAGGGCTTTGAAGGTGAGGACCAGGATCTTGAACTGTATCCTCTGTGATGGGAAGCCAGTGGAGTCGGGCGAGGATGACGGTGATAGGATCACGGAGCCTGGTCCGGGAGAGGACACGAGCTGCAGAGTTCTGGATAATCTGCAGCCTATTAAGGGAGGAGTTGGGGAGACTGACAAGCAGGGAGTTTGCACAGTCAAGCCTGGATGTTATGAATGTGTGTATGAGGGTTTCGGCGGCCTGGGGTGTGAAACACCAAGGTTCGGGACTGGCTCAGTGAGGGGGAGTGAGCCCCATGGATGGTGATGCTGTCAGTGCATGAGGTGAGGAGGCGCTGACGGGAGCCAATCAGAAACTTCGGTTTTGTTGACGTTGAACTGAAGAAAGTTGGCTCTCATCCAGGACTTGACGTCTGACAGACATTGTGTCAGGACAGCAGTGGGTCCTGGAGTCGAGGGGGGAGGCCGAGAGGGAGAGTTGGATCTCATTCCTTACATGTGGAAGTTGACCCCATGTCTGTGGATGATGTCACCAAGAGGGAGCATATAGATGTTGAAGAGGAGACAAGGACAGAGCCCTGAGGAACGCCGCACGGGACGGTGCGGGGGCTGGAGGAGAAGCCGTTTGTGGAGATGAAGTGCAGGAGGAATGAGAGGTACAATTTGAACCGGTCAAGGACAGAACCATGAAGACTGACGTGAGAGGAGAGGCGGTGGTGAGAATAGAATGGTCAATGGTGTCGAAGGCAGCAGTGAGGTCAAGGAGGACGAGGAGGTAGAGGGAGTCCTGGTTGCAGATATACAGAATGTCATTTGTCACTTTGACCAGGGCTGTTTCTGTGCTGTGGGCGGCACGGAAACCCGATTGGAAGGGTTTGTGAAGGGAGTGGCGGGAGAGGAAGGAGCGAAGCTTGGAAGCAACATCTCGTTCCAGGACCTTGGTGAGGAAAGGGAGGTTGGAGATGGGGCGATAGTCTGAGAGCAGGGATTGGTCCAGGGAGAGTTTTTTTTAAGGATAAGAGTGATAATAATTCCTCCAAAACCAAAAACAATAATAAAATTGGTCATTTTTAATCTACGACTGTTTGTGGGACATTGCTGTGCGCAATTGGCTGCCGCGTTCGCCCACAAATATACAGTCAATTCACTTTACAGTGTGTTCTGTGAAGCGCTTTGGGACGTCCTCCCGACGTGAAAAGCGCTATATCAAATGCAAGGATTATTATTATTATTATTACCAACCCACCAGCTAGTGGAACAGTTTCTCTCCTATATACCCTATCAAAACCCCTCATAACACTTTCATTAAATCTCCCCTCAACCTTCTCTCCTCTAAGGAGAATAATCCCAGCCTCTCTAGTCTTACCTTAATGTCCGCTCTGAGCTCCGCCAGCTGCTCCTCAGACATCCGCACAGCACTGTCCGTCATTCTCTTCAACCCCTCGGCTTTCTTCTGACGGCTGTCCAAGATTTCCACTAACATTCGTGCGGATAAGGGAACAGAAACCGGGTGGGACAGGGGGGAGAGAAAGAGAGGGTTTATCCCAGTTTAGTGGTCAACTCTACACCACCTGACAATCATTTACATAAAGACCATTTGTTGAATGTTTAGAAACATTGGGTATTAATGAACCTCTTGTAGCGAACAACAACAATTTGCATTTATATAGCAGCACTTCAAGCAGGCTTAGTGTCCCAGAGCGCTTGACAGTGCACGAACCGAGCCGGTGGGAGGTGACTGTAGGCATGGTCGAAGAGGAGTCGTGAGATGGGTCTTGAAGGAGGCAAGGGAGGGAGAGAGGTGGAGGGACTGCGGGATGGAATTCCAGAGGGTGGGGTTCACAGAGCCTGGTGCAGGAGAGGACGCGGGCTGCAGAGTTCTAGATGATTTCCAGCAACACGTTTGGCGCCAACATTTACTTAATTTCTAATTGACGTGCCATTTCTAATTGAGTTTTCACCGGTCTCAACCATCTAATAGGCTTGAATGTCTCCCCAATCCATCAGATATTGTACTTACGTGCTGCTGCCTTGACCTTATCCATCTCTCCCAGCAACGCCACCTCCCGGTCCATGAGGCTGCAATGAGAGAGAGAGCGAGAGAGTGAGAGAGTTCAGTGACTGGTTCTATGGCATTAATCTAAAAACCTCTTTACATTATACTAGACGCTAAGCCACAAAGAATTCCATGCCATTGTTATCCCAAACTCTGCTCGCCTACATTTCACAGCAGACGTCACCACGATTCCCACACGAACCAGATCACTCTGAAAGAGGATTTTGTTTCCTTGTTTCAGTTTCATGAACGTTTTAAAAGACTCGGTCTTCGTTCTGCCCCATCCCTCCCCACCCATTCTCCGCTCTTTCCTGGCTCTGCTATACTGTCAGCTTGTTCTTCCCTCCCTCAGAACTGAACCTGTTTCCAATCCTTCAGTCAGACTAGTTGTAGAAATTGAGCCAATACGTGTAATTTTGTGGAGTATTGCCATGGCCTACATAGTCACTACACTTACATTTACACAGTAAATCCCATGAAGCGGTTTGAGACATCCACCTAACATGAAAGGCGCTGTATGAAAGTTAAGGATTATTATTCCCAGGAGTAAGCTGAAGGTAGCATTTTCTGGCAAACAACAACAACAAAATGATATTTATAGAGTGCCTTTCACGTTGGGAGGACGTCCCAAGGCGCTGTATAGTCAGGGGTCAGGACCGAAGCATGGGGGAAGGGTGGTGTAGGGGTGAGGGAAGGCAGAGAGGTGACCAAAGGCACGATCGAAGAGGAGGGTCTTGAGACCGGCCTTTAAGGAGGCGAGGGTGGAAGCGAGGCGAAGGGACTGTGGGATGGAGTTCCAGAGTGTGGGGGCAGAGAGGCTGAAAGCCCGGTCACCGATGGTAGGGCGGGTCGATGCGGGAGACATGGAGCAGGATGGAGCCCACTGAACAGAGGGAGTGGGCAGGTTGGTAGGGAGTCAGCAGGTCAGAGAGATAGGAGGGGGCGAGGTCATGGATGGCCTTGAAAGTGAGGATGAGGATCTTGAATTCGATCCTCTGAGGGTGATTTTTCGGCAGCCTAAAGGGTGAGGCAGTGGCGGAGTCTGGCAGTGTTGTGGAGGTAGTAGTAGGCAGTGCCAGTCATGGCGCGGATGTGGGAGAGAAAGGACAGTTCAGGGTCAAACAAGACACCCAGGTTCCTGACTGGCTCAGTGAGGTTGAGTGTGCAGCCGTGGAGGCTGATGCTGCCAGAGCCTGAGGTGCGGAGGCGCTGGCGCGAGCTAATCAGGAGGGCCTCGGTCTTGCTGATGTTGATTGGAGAAAGTGTCCCTCGTCCAGGACTTAATGTGGAACAGGCAGTCGGTTAGGACACCAGTTGTCCTGGAGTTGAGGGTGGAGGCAGAGAGATAGAGTTGGGTATCATCCGCATACATGTGGAAATTTACCCCAGGTCTGCGGATGATCTCACCAAGGGGGAACGTGTAGAGGGTGAAGAAGAGGGGAACTGAGGACAGAGCCCTGAGGAACACCGCACGAGACGGTGTGGGGGCTGGAGGAGAAGCCGTTTGCTGAGACAAAGTGGAGGCGGTGTGAAAGGTAGGACTTGAACCAGTCAAGAACAGAACCTTGAAGGTTGAGGTGGGAGGAGAGGGGTTGAAGGAGGATTGAGTGGTCCACAGTGTCAAAGGCAGCGGAAAGGTCGAGGAGGAGGAGGCAGCATGGAAACCCGACTGGAGGGGCTCATGGAGGGAGTGGGAGGAGAGGGAAGAACGAAGCTGGGAGACAATGGCTCCCTCAAGGACCTTAGACAGAAAACGGAGATGGGAGATGGGCCGGTAGCTGGATAGTGTGATGGGTCAAGGGAACGTTTCTTCAAGGTGGGGGTGATAGTGGTTGTTTTGAGGGTAGGAATAGTGCCAGATGTCAGGGAGAGGTTGATGATGTTGGCGAGTAGTGGGGCAAGGAGGTGGAGGTGGACGATTTGGCCAGGGCGAGAGTGAGCGGTAAGTCTTGATGAGGTCCAGCCAGATGTGCTGGTGGACCTTAGGCCAGATTTGAGCCAAGTGAGTTCGGCAGCCAACACGTGGCCCTTGAGCGAGCGGAAGTGGCTGGTGAACCAGGGTGAGGATCGGGAATAAGAGGCAATTTGAGAGGTGAGGGGAGCAAGGGCATCGAGTGTGGTGGAGAGCGTGCTGTGGAATAGAGAAAACGTAGAGGATGGGTTGGTGCGGGAGGTGAGCCAGAGGGGGAGGAGTTCAGAGGACTCCAGGGCAGCGGAGAGGGATTGCGGGGAGATCTTCTTCCACGAGCGGTAGAAGATGGTGGTAGGTTTGGAGGCCGTGGGGAGAGGGATATGGGAGTTGAGGGAGATGAAATGGTGGTCAGAGATGGCCTTGTCGGTGATGGTGACATCCGAGACGCTGAGGCCCCGGGTGATCACCAGATCGACCGGGTGACCGTGGGTGTGGGTAGCAGAGTGGATGTGGAGGGAGAGGTTGAAAGAGGAGAGGAGAGAGAAATCTGAGGATGTGGAGCAAGAGGAGGTGAAGTGGAGGTTGAAGTTGCCTAGGATGATAAGGCAGTCGGAGCAGAGGCAGAGGGAAGCTAAAAGGATGGAGATGTCAGAGATGAAGGTGGAAGAGGATTTTGGGGGGCGGTAAATTAGGAGGATTTTTAAACAAAACAAAATAATGAAAACAGAAGTCACTGGGAACACACAGGTGGTCAGGTTAACGTTTCAGGTCAATGAACTTTAAACAGAACCTAGGGTCCTGACAAAAAGTCATTGACCTGAAAGGTTAACTAATTTTCCTCTCTCCATAGATGCTGCCTGACCTGCTGAGTGTTCCCAGCGACTTCTGTTTTATTTCAGATTTCCAGCATCTGCGCTATTTTGCCTTTTGAAATAATTAATTGTTGGTATTTGAGTGAGTTAATGTAACATGCAATTCTTTCGAATGACCAAGTGGCAGCGTTGCATACTGTAAGACAATCACATACAGTCACTGTTACTTACATTGGTAAACAGAAACCTGTCTAAAATCTCATTAAAAGCAAAAAAGATCTAACTTAAAAGTTCTCGTTTTACATGTTGCGTAACTGGCATATCTGTTTTTCTTGTTGTAGAGACTCTCCTACAGTGTGGGTTCACCCAGTAATACAGTCACTACACTTTGTGTATGCTGGGAAGCGCTTTTGAAACGTCGCGACGATGTGATCAGTGGGGCTGCGTCAAATGCGATGATTATTATTATTATGGGTGTTGGAATCCAGCATTAATGAAAGGTTCCTCCAGCCTGGCTATAATCAGAGCAAGCAGAGCTATGGAAGCCAGTTTCCTGGTTAGCGAGGAATCCCAGCTGGTAATTTCCTTATCTGAGATGGAAAGCACATACCCTCTCTCCCTGGAGGGATGCTTCCTGCTTACCTAATTCCAGAGAATATTATGTACAGGTTGGCAAAAGCCAAGGCTTGAGGGGAGCCCAGAGTGTGCGTTGGGGTAACTGCTGGAGGCTAACCTGCATAAAACCATTGAGAGCACTGCCTGGCAAGCTTTCCCACTGCTTGTCCAGCTAGGACCACTCACGATACCCGTTAGGGCTTTGGCTTGCAGGGTTACCAGGAGCTGAGTGGGATGACTCCCTGCTCCCCCCCTGCCCGACAGAGCTGCTGGATCACGGATGTGCAGACAAAGTGAGCAGTGAGGGATTCACAAAGAGTGAGGCTAAAGGCAAAACAGCCACAAGGAAGCTAGTGCATCAGCTGCTTAAACATCATTGCTAGTGAGCCTTGAAGCAACTCCCTTCTGTCACGCTCCAGTGGTAGGCTTTGGCCCTTATTGGCCATGGACCCGGCCTCACTCGGTACATGCTCACCTGGGCAGACAATAGGTGCTTTTAAGATACTTGTCAACAACAGTATTATTACTAGTGGGTATTAATACTAGTAATGGCAAGTAAGTGCTGTGAATTGCTTTTCCCTTTAATCTCGCTACTTTTGATGGTGTTTGTGGCTGAAACAAACTCTCTGGGGTCTGTGTGTGTGTGTGTGTGTGTGCGCTGAGCTAACAATGGAGAGAGTATCGCAGTACAGAGAACTTTGGGGAGTGGTTGGGTAGTAATCAGATTGCAGAAGTAATGTGACAGTTTTGACGTCATTGCCACAGGTTGTGGCTGTTTTGCCTTTAGCCTTATTCTGTGAATACCTCACTGCTCACCTTGTCAGATCTGGAGCAGATTATATGAACCAGGAGAGTCTGGTATTAGACATTTTTATTGTGCCTGTAATGTCAAAACATCTCAACAAGAGAACTTCATAGCAACTACTGCTACACGTGATGTTGGTTTGGAGGCTGACGATGCAGCCACTTTGCACACAGAGAAAGCCTATTAAACAGCGATTAAATTAAATGACTGATTAATCGGGTGGATTTCTGACCAGGATGGGGGGGAAGAGGAGAGCTGGTTCCAAGCTTGCCTTCTCTTATCACAAAATATACAGTATATTCCGTGAAGCGCTTTGAGACATCTCGAAGACGTGCAATTATTAATATCATTATAATCCCTTCAAATATGATAATAATAATTTTGTTACTCAATCTATGACTGTTTGTGGGACACTGCTGTGTGCAATTCACTTTACAGTATATTCTGTGAAGTGCTTGGACATGATATTAATATATTATTAATCGGGGCTTTAGTGAAAATGACAAGGAATGGGAATGAGCAAAGAGAAACAAAAAGCTCAATGCTCTGGCCCTTTCCCCATCCCCTCCACTGCCCTAGTCCCAGTCTGTCTGATCCTCCTTTTAAACAGTCCCACAGATTCCGCCTTTGCAGGTTTCTGGGGCAGGGCGTTCCGATTTTTACGCCAAAATGTCGGCGCATCCGCGCAGGAAGTGACGTCAGCAGTGGATTCTGACGTCAGGAAGTGACTTCGCCGGCAACCCGATGACCCAGAGGTGGGCCATTTTTTTTGCACTCCTTTCGTGTGAGATATTGAGGACCCAGGTCGCTTTGCAGGTTTGAACTGCGAGGCAGGATCACCCCCCCCTCGGGGGGAACCAAATGTGTACCCAGCTCTGTGGCTACAACTGGCTTTCCCAATGTTTACAGTTCCAAAAGGCCAGCGAGCTGCTCCAGCACGGTCCCTGCCCTGCCCTGCCCTGCCCTGCTCACTCGCTCTTTCAGAAAGTTTCGTTTTCCTGCACATCACATGACATTACAGGGAATGTGCTCTCTGGACCCTGAGGTAACCTCAACAGGAACCAGGAAGCAAGCATCTTTTATGTGCATTTCAGGGAGATCAAGGGCACAGATCGAGTCAGATGAGTGTCAAGGTGACTTTTACTGACAACATCTGATACTGTTTGTTTTTGAGGGAAACAGAACACTTGACTCATTGCTGTGGGTGGGATGCGCAATGTGCTTGCAGTGTATCTACACTTCAAAGTAACTCGCCGTACAGTTTTCAGATATAATAATAATCCTTGCATTTGATATAGCGCTTTTTATGTCTTCTCGACGTCTCAAAGCGCTTCACAGAATAGACTGTAAAGTGAATTGACTGTATATTTGTGGGCGAAATGCGGCAGCCAATTGCACACAGGGGCGTCGCACAAACAGACGTGTTGAAATGACGAATTTGTTATTATTTTGTTTTGGAGAGATTATTATCAGGCGTGTGGAGTAAGGAAACTTGCCCAAAGTTTTACCCTCCCGGGAATCAAACCCAGGTCTCTCGCTTGCAAAGCGAGTGCTCTAACCACTGAGCTACAGAACTCCACAAGATAAGGCGCTGCTGCAAAGGCAAGCGTGATTAAATATCACAAAGAACCCGTTCAATAATCTTAAACGCCTAGAATCAGGTCCCCTCCATAGGTAAATGTATGTAACGGCTCGGAAGACAGAACAGACAGATGGTGGAAGCAGAAAGAGTCGATTCTTTCAAATGCAAATGAGAGATTTCTTGTAGGAAATAATATTTGGGAGATACAGTAGTTCAGGACACAACGCAAGCGTGCTTGTGACTGCCAGGATGGTGGGAAGTGAACTGGATGGACCTTGGTCTTTTTTCATCTAGCATTTCCTACGCTCCCTCTTAATCGTTTCAACTGCAGAGAAAAGCTCCGACCTGGCTGTCCAGCTTTCCCCAAAGGGCTGTTTGGGGAGTGACAGTGAATCCGGATCCTCTGGGTTGGTTTCAAACTCAGTGTGTAACCAACCGAGCTTCGGAGTCCTGAAGGTTTGTCAACACACGCACACACAGACATACAAACACACAGACATACAACCACACACACAAACTCTCACATACATCAAACACATGCGAGCGCACATGGAAGTTTGACGAACAAGACCTACCAGTTCTGTAGATCAGCAAACACCGCCTTCATCTTCTTGATGGAAATGTCCATTTCTTCCTTAATGACGGCCCCGTACCTGGCCAGCGACACCGTGCAGCGCTGCAGGTCCTTGGCTGATTTCTCTATGTTAGCACCTACAGCAATCACAACAAGAAACCTGCGTTTATACACGGTTCTTCAGCCGCGGCAGTGTCTCGGAGCGCTGTGCAGTGGCGGGTTGGATACCGAGTGAGATAGAACAGGGAGCGGAAGGTGGGTACAGGCATGATGAAGAAATAGATCTTAATGTGGGAGTTAAAATAGATAAATGGGGGTAGGAGGGAATGAGGTAGGGAGTTCCAGAGGTTACGGGCGCTGTGGCTGACGGTACGGACCCAGTTGGTGGGGTGGTTTATTATTGTATAATAATAACAAATAATAATCCTTATATTTGATAGATCAGGTCATTGAGATGTTGCAAAGCGTTTCACAGAAAATACTGTAAAGTGAATTGACTGTATATCTTGTGGATAAAACACGGTAGCCAAATGCGCAGAACGGTGTCGCGCAAACAGATATGGACTGAGTGACCAAATCTTTTTTGGGGAGGGATTATCCCCAGAAAGCGATGCGCCAATCTACTTACAACCAGGTTCCTATTTACTGCTAGGTAAAGACAGGTGTGTGGAGTAAGGAAACGTGCCCAACGTTTCGCCCTGCCCAGGAATCGATCCCCAGGTCCTCTAACTTGCGAGGTGAGTGCTCTAACTATTGAGCTACAGGACTCCACAATATATGCCCCTCACCTAGTTTTTTATTTTTGGATGAGACAGCCATGCCTTCCTCTGGCATGATTAAGGAAAGAGAGGCAGCGGACTGGGATCCCGAGTTGGTCCGTGGTCGGGATTTGTTTGCGTTTCTCTGTTGATACGTTTTGGGAGGATGCTGTCGATGGGAAGGATGGCTGGATTGTAATTTCTTCTGCGTCCGAGAGGGCTCGACGTCTAACACAGAGACTGAAAGAGCACAAGTTTAATGAAGCAGCAACAACAATTTATATAGTGCCCGTCACGCAGGGTAGTATCCCAGGGACAGAGACACCCCAAACCTGTACAGTGACAAGATCACGCTCAGGCTGCTGCTCACAGTGTGATAACATAGGCTGAGAATTAGCTGAAGAAACAAAACATTTGAAACACTGAATTAACCCTGGCTTTGTCGGAAGCTGCTTTACACTGCGGGAAAGAGCCAAGATATGGCACAGAGAGCTAAAATGGCTCTGCTCACCTGAACAGCAACAGTACGTAATAATAATAATCATCATCCTTGCATTTGATATGGCACCTTATCACGTTGTTGAGATGTCTCAAAGCACTTGACAGAATATAAAGTGTAGTGACTGTGTATTTTGTGGGCGAAATGCAGAAGTCAATTGCACACAGCAGTGTCCCACAAACAGTCACGTTTTGAGTGACCAAATTATTTATTTTTTTTGAAGGGATTATTACCCCTGGAAAGCAATCCACCAATCGACTAACAACCAGATTCCTATTTGCTGCTAGGTAAACAGAGTTGCATGGAATAAAGAAACTCGCTTAAGGTTTCGCCCTGCCTGGGACTCGAACCTGGGGCTTCTCACTTGCGAGGCGAATGCGCTAACCATGTAGTAACATCCAAACATTATAATACGCAGGATAATACATGAGTTGCCGAGCAGCCCTCCCTACACTCCACAGGAGCCCGGCCTCACATCTTTGTCAGCCAGAGACTTATTTGACAGTTAAATAGCCGCAATGTGCGAAAGTGAGAGAAAAAAAGGAACACGTGAGATTGGTTAACACTCAGTTGAATGTGGGAGAGCTGAACCTCGGCTGCACTGACCCACAGCGACTTCGGCTTCTAAGGTCATTGACTCGCAATCCTCCAATTCCTGGGCGTCCATGGAGAGGGTGTCCAGGTGCTCGCTGAGAGAATCCACAGACTCGTCCCCGTTCACAGAGCCGTTGACGTGGTAGCCGTTGATCTCGTCCTTCTCGGACGAAGCCGCGGACAAGTCGCCGTTGTTAGACGCCCCTTTGCCAGGCGCCTCAGTCTGTTCAGGGTCAGGCTCCGGCTCTGTTTTAACCTGTGGCTTTGGCTTCTTCTTCTTTTTGTTCTAGGTTAAAAACAAAATAATAATCAGTGAAATACTTTCAGGAAATGTTTTCATCTGCACAAAGGGGAATGGGAATCTGGAACTCTCTCCCTCCCCAAAAGGCTGTGGATTATGGCTGGATCCATTCACATTGTCCAAACTGAGGTGGAGAGATGTTTGTTAGGTCTGGGTATCAAGGGATATGGGGCAAAGGTGGGTAATTGCAGTTGAGGCACAGATCACTTTACAGTATGTTCTGTGAAGCACTTTGAGACATCTTGAAGACGTGATAAAACGCTATATGAAATATAATATTCTTATTATTATATTAATTTAACCTTTGTTACGAACATTTCATTACAAAGTCTCCTACCTTCTTTTTCCCCGTTACACTCCACTCCTTTAGCACCTCCGTGGCATAACCTGTACAATGATAAAAGCAGTCGGTACATTTTATTTCCCTCTGTTTCTCCAGCTAGGACCACCCTTCCCATTAGGGCTTTGGCTTGTAGGGTTAACAGGAGCTGAGTGGGAATGACCCCCTTGCCCCACTGACTGGTCTGCCTCTCCAAGTCCTGCTGACTAGCCAGGCTGGGCTGTGCTATCATCATCAGTGCCCTGGAATACTGCGAACCCGCCTGGCTCAGGAACCAGACTAGAGACGGCAAGTGAGGGCTGGCTCGATTCCGACAGCTCAGCTCCAAGGAGACCCCGCTTAAGGAGCAAAGGGACCCAGGCAAAATGGCCAGTCAATGTGATAGCCAACTTACATCCCAAAAGCTTAGCACCCGGTGACAGGTGGGAGGGGGAACGCCACAGGGGAAAACACGAGGGAAACCTTACCTTCCATAAAGGCCTGAACAGCTTTGTCCACACAGTTATCGTAGTGCTGCAGCACCAAAATGATTTCATTTTTACTTCTGTTCGGAACGATTGCCCGGACTGCAGTAATCTGAGGGGACACAGCAGGAACCAGGTAAAAGGTGTGTGTGAGAGAGAATATGATGCACAGACAGAGGAGACATGGGAAAGAAAGGGAGAGAGCGAGAAAGAGAGGGAAAGAGAGAGAGAGAGAGGGAAGGAGGGAGGGAGGGAGAGAGAGAGGCAGGGAGGGAGAGAGAGAGAGGGAGGGAGACAGAGAGAAAACCTTGCCTAAAGTTTTGCCTTGCCTAGGAACCGAACCCAGTTCCTCTTACTTGCGAGGTGCTCCAACCAATACAATACAAAACACCACAGTACAGTGAGAATAGCAAAGTACACCTCTAAATCACACAAACTAAACAGCTACGACTTCCTAGTGGGGACAAGCAAACGTTTCACTCCTACCTTTTCCTTTATGTTTTCGTTGGATCCTCCGTGAGCCATGACAGCTTTGGATCTCGTGTCAAACACCACTCCGGTGGGATCTGTACCAGAAATAAGATAGACAGGACTTGTGACACCTGTTGTTCTCTAACACAGTTGAGTGCGCTCATTCTCTCTGGAATGTGGATACACCTCTGCGACTGTGGCATTAACAAGCAACAGTGGAGTCCTGTAGCTCAGTGGTTAGAGCGCTCGCCTTGCAAGCGAGAGACCTGGGTTCAATTCCAGGCAGGGCCAAACCTTGTGCAAGTTTCCTTACTCCACACAGAGCCTAATAATAATCCCTCCAAAACAAAAACAATAATAAATTGATCATTTCAATCCACGACTGTTTGTGGGACATTGCTGTGGGCAATTGGCTGCCGCGTTTCGCCCACAAATATACAGTCAATTCACTTTACAGTCTATTCTGTGAAGCGCTTTGAGAAGTTGAGATGACGTAAAAGCGCTATATCAAATGCAAGGATTATTATTATTATTAGCGCTTGTTTGGTATGCTTTGTGAGTGTTAAGAACACAAGAGCACATTACACAAAAAAAATAATTCAGTCACTCAATGCATGACTGTTTGTGGGACACTGCTGTGTGCAATTGGTTGCTGCGTTTCGCCCACAAAATATACACAGTTGATTCACTTTGACCATATATTCCGTGAAGTGCTTTGAATGTCTCAAAGACGTGATAAGGCACTATATCAAATGCAAGAATTATCATTATATTGTTTATTATTATTACGGCACTGCTGGTGACAGCACAGCCCAGCTCATCAGCAGGACTTGGAAGGGCACACCAGTCACTGGGGTCATCGAGTCACCCCCCTCAGCTCCTGTTAACCCAGCAAGCTAAAGCCCTAACTGGTCCTAGCTGGACAAGCTGGGACAGCAATATCAATGGCAAACCTATGTGGTTTTAGCTGGTTAGACTGCAGCAGTTACCCCAGCTTTGGCTCTTGACAATCTGGGCCTAATACTTGCCGGAATTAGGTAAGCAGGATGTGTCCCTCTAGGGAGAGAGAGAGAGAGAGAGAGCGCATACCATTCCAAGAATCTATCTCTGGGATTTCTGTATAGTTGGGAAGCATGGAAACCTCAGTTTGGTTTGGAAACTCTTTAAGCATGGTGATGAGTTTCCACATGTGTCAGACACCCAGCTGACCAAAAATATATAACAGAAGAGCTCCTCACAAACACAAACTCAATTTTGCAGTCGAACATTGCTTGTCTGCCAGCTAACCACACAGACTGTTGGTGAAAGCTTTCACACGGGTAACACTGCAAAAGGATCACAAGGTGAAGAGAGATCGGATCCTGAAACAATATCTATTTGATGGGACAGTTCGCCCACAAAACACACAGCCACATAAACGCTTTGGGACGTCCTCCCGCCCTGAGAGGAGCTATATATACACCAAATCATCATTATTATTATAACAAACAGCATTGCTTGCGCTGAGAAAGTTTAACCACCGCGGTTTCTGAAATTTTTGTTTATTGTGGTTTACACGACTCTTTCAAGTGTTGAGAACACAATGATCCTTCACCTACACAGAAAATATTGCCAGCAATCTTGAGCTGTGTATATTTTAATATAATGAAAGATCTAAGCTGCCCATGACCGCTGGAGCCTGTAGAAAGTGAGTTTGAATAGAACACGTTGTATGTTCAGCCCTCTCTGCAATGACCGCACATTCTGGCTTTCGAGATCAAAGCTGAGCATCTCAGCATTACTCTGTAACCCTGGCTAGAACAGTAAACTGGAGCACAGACATTGGAAACACATTTATTATAAGCTACCCTGAACAATTACAAATTACATTTCATGCTGGGAGGATGTTCCAAGGAGTCAGGGATTTGGACCCAAGATGGGGATTAGGATCAGGAAAGGTGGAGGGCAGGGAGGGTAGCTAAAAAGGAGCGTCTTGAAAACGTGCCTTGAAGGAGGCAAAGCAGGGAGCAAGGCGAAGGGACTGTGGAATGGAGTTCCAAAGGGTGGGGGCAGAGAGTCTGAAGGCCCAACTGCCAATGGTGGGGCAGGCAGATCGCGGACATGAAGCAGGCCAGAGTGGACAGGTTGATATGGTAATATACTGTGAAGTTTTTATTTGGTTGATGAAACGTGGCAGCCAATCGCACACAGTAGTCCCACATACAGTCGTGGATTGAGTGACCAAATTATTTATTTTTTTGAGCGATTATTACCCCTGAAAAAACAACCTGCCAATCGACTAACACCGGGTTCCTACTTACTGCTAGGTAAAGAGGCTTGTGGAGTAAGAAAACTAATGTTTGCCTAACGTTTCGCTCTGCACAGTTATCAAATCCAGGTCCTCTCGCTTGCAAGGCAAGTACTCCAACCAATAAGTTACAGGACTCCTAAATATTCTGCTCCACTTATGTAGTGGTGAGAATACTTAGGAATCCTGTAATCAATACACTACGGCACTCCGTGTATTCATACTGCTACATAAGGAATGTTTTGGCACGCAGTCCCAGTGCAGGTCAAGTCATACAAAGCACAACAGGAACAGGTGCTTGGAAAATCTTGGCAGCTCATAATCGCTGTGGTATCATAATTGTTGTCAATATTAACACAATTACATTCAAATATCTATCAAGCATATTATTGAAAGCTTAGCAAAGAATCAACTTGGCATCAACAGCACAGGACCTTGGTTGGGGCCAGTCCCCAGCAATGGGGTCCATGTCTCACTCACACCAGGTGTTCGCCAGACCTGTTATTAGCCAACGTAGTGTAGCGTAGTGGTTAGGGCACACACCTTGCAAGCGAGAAGACCTGGGTTCAATTCCCGGGCAGGGCAAAGATGTTAAAATGCGCTATATTAAATGTGAGGATTATTATTATACCAAAAGGGGGGTTGGGGGGGAAGAGTGGGGGTTAAGGGAAATTGGACAGAATTTAATGCCAAGGCATAAAATGATGGGGGAAACCCGGGTACATTAATGAGTAGGTGGATCTTTAGCATCAAACTAACTACTTGGGTGTGACCATCAGGGATCATTCTCAAACTTGAACCACATCTCACAGTGTTCTGAAACTATCCAATGATGGTGAAATCTATTAATGGGAGGCTGGGCAAGGAAAGCCTAAGCGGAATACTTTCTATTCAAAGTATCACAAACTACCACCCTATCTCCAACCTCCCTTTCCTTTTCAAGGTTCTTGATTTGTTGCTTCCCAGCTTCACTCCTTCCTCTCCTGTCACTCCCTTTACGAACCCCTCCAATCCCTTTCCAAACATCCCTGGTCAAGGTGACAAATGACATTCTTCCATCTGTGACCAGGGCTCCCTCTGTCTACTCGTCCTCCTCGACCTCTCTGCTGCCTTCGACACTGTGGACCACTCTATCCTCCTTCACTGCCTCTCCTCTCATCTCAACTTTCAAGGTTCTGTCCTTGAATGGTTCAGATTCCATCTCTCACAGTCTCCACTTCGTCTCCACAATTAGTTTCTCCTCCAGCTCCCGCACCATCTTGTCCCTGTTCCTCAGGGCTCTGTCCTTGGTCCTCTCTTCAGCCTATGCCTCTTGGTGATATTATCCTCACATGTATGTGGATGACACCCAACTCTATCTCTCTGCCTCGATCCTCGACTCCAGGACCACTGATGTCCTAACAGACATCAAGTCTTGGATAAGAGCCAACTTTCTACAGTTGAACGTCAGCAAGACTGAGGCTTTTCTGATTGGCTCGCACCAGCACCTCTGCACCTCAGGCACTGGTAACATCAGCATCCGTGGACGCACACTCCACTTCACCAAGCCAGTCAGGAACCTAGGCGTCTTATTCAACCCTCACCTGTCCTTTGTCTCCCATATCTATGCCACGACCCGCTCTGCCTTCTCTCTCCTCCGCAACACTGCCTGACAACCACCACTGTCTCACACTTCAAGCCGCTGAAACCCTTATACATGCTTTCATTACATCTAGGCTTGACTATGCCAACTCCTTGCTTGTTGGCCTTCCCAACTCTTCTCTCCACAAGCTACAGAACATCCAGAACTCTGCAGCTCGTGTCCTCTCCTGTACCAGGCTCCATGACCCCATCAAACCCACCCTTACCTGGCTCCACTCCCCGCTGTCCCTCAGAGGATTGAGTTCAAAATCCCCAACCTCACCTTCAAGGCTCTCCACAGCCTTGCCCCCTCATACTTCTTCAACCTGCTAACACCTTATGAACCTGTCCGCTCCCTCCGTTCAGCAGGCTCCAGACTTCTCCATGTCCCCCGCCCAGCCCTCCATCGGCAGTCGGGCCTTTAGCCTCTCTGCCCCCATCCTCTGGAACTCCACCCCACATTCCCTTTGACTTGCTCCATCCCTCGCCTCCTCTGTAAAAGATGTTTTACAAATGTAATTTTGTGTTGTATTTGCTCAATTTTAACACATACGCACGCAAGCACACAAAATACTTGAATTTGCTTGGAGACTTGGTATCTGAGCCTCCAGTGTTTCCCACATCCTCCGCCCTGGTGATATTAAATCCAGGTGAGAGCCTGGTACATGAAGGAGTTTGTGTTACTAGGGGCTGGTGCTTCTAACGAGCTGAGGAGCCAATGCACAGCTGAGCAATCCTCAAAGAACAATGTCGGGTGGATATATTGTCCTTGCTTGGTCAGATGTACAGAACTCAAACCAGACTAACCTTACACCTGGAATAAACATGAGCCTTTTAAAGGCTACTCAAAGTCAGAAGTCCTGTACCTTACAGCGAGAGGACCTGGGTTCGATTCCCGAACAGGGCGAAACCTTAAGCAAGTTAGGCAAGTTTCCTTACTCCACACGCATTAAGCAGGAACCTGCTTGTTACTTGATTGGCAGATAGTTTTTCCGGGAGTAATAATCCCTTAAAAAAAAATCAATTTGTCACTCAATCCACAACTGTTTCTGGGACACTGCTGTGCGCAATTGGCTGTCGCGTTTCGCACCCAAAATAGTCGATCCACTTTGCAGTACATTCTGTGAAGCACCTTGAGATGCGTCAAAGATGTGATACGGTGCTATATAAAATGCAATAATAATAACA